TATGTTGGTCACGGCAGCAATGCCAAAGCCTGCCTTTCGGCTCGGCGCTCGGCGCAGTACAGGGTCGTTTTGACATGCCTTTGACACTCTCACCTGTTTCCGGTGAGAGTGGTTGATGGACGGCGGTGAGTTTCAGTCAGTTTTGCTCGATCATGTCTATGTGAACGAGCGTTTCAAACGAGGGAATCAGCAATAGGGAGGTGCCAACCCCCATTCCAAGTTCCACCAACGGTGAGGTGGGGCGCTTTGTTTGCAGCCGGGCAATGCGCCTGGCCTTGGGGGTTCATTGATGCTAGTTGGATGGCCGAACTCATGACTTGGCCCGTTTGGACCTTGCCCTCTCCATGAACGGAGTCTTTGAATTCAGCATCACCTGAATTGGCAGGGTCAGCGTCGCAGGTCTGGGTGTGGCGAGTCCGAAAGCACCAAGAGCGTCTCCAGGGCGAGTTGCTACATGGATCACTTCCCCGAAAAAGGAAACCAGCGGCCACCAAGAACCCCCTCGAAAGTTTTCAGGAAAAAGAAACCAAGGGCCAGCCGGAAGTGCCCAATTGAAGTGGACGTCGATCGCCTCCATGTTGCAAGGATTTGGCTGGAGATGCAGCGGGAGCAGCCCAGCGGCACCCTGCCGAAGGCAGGGCATGAAGAACTCGGGGGTGCGCCTGACCAGGCGGCGCCTCGTGTTTTTTCTTTTTTTAGGTACCCACAGCCATCTTTGAGATCCCCTGATTTTAATTTATGTAATACCAGCCTGGATTGGCGTTCCACGCCAGCGCGGCTCCAAAAGTCTCTAAACAGCCTTTTTGGAATGGCTGATTGCAAAGCATGGGAGTGAGTCCGAAAGTGTCTGAGCATTGAATTTTGAAGTTTACTTAGAGTGGGCAACACTGAAGAAGCCAAGCAAGCAGTTCCCTTTTCGCACACAAAGGCGGCGAAAGGTTGTTTGCAGGTGTCAAACTTTCATCCTCAGAGAAAATCTATCATTTTCCCCTTATGAATATACCACATCATACAAACCATATTCTCCTCTTGGGTAGACCCTTTCCCCACGGGAATGGCAACCCCAAGTTACATAATTCTTTTCGGTCGTTTATGTGCCAACCTTGCATCCTTTGGGTAAATCTGTTTACTCGCCAGCTTGCCACGGGGGTAGGTATTTTAGTCATGTACCAGTTTTCTTTTCAGGAGTAGCTGATAAAAATCCGCCAGGTTTTCCATGTTGCTAACTTCTAGTCTACGGAGGTGGATAAACTATGCCCCATGTTCTTTGAGGAATCTTAATATTGTGCTTGTTTCCTCACAAGTTGACGCAGTCTCATTTGAACCCTTTCTTTTTTCGGAGAATGCCGATGCCGATGTCTTAGGTGTATTTGCCTAGGCTAAGGTAATCCTTAATCCTTACTTGGGGTTCGGCAAGGGGTCTCCTTTGTGGTGTTTCTTATTTTTATTTTTGTTGGGAGAACCGCCCAGATTGCCAATACCTACTACTTGGTTTCGGATGAAAAGCTGAGTCGTAGGTTCAGGACCTGAGCTTGCTGCAGCGCACGAAGAAGCAGAAGGCCCCGTGCCACGGCAGCGGTCCGGGCGACGAAAAGGGGATTGGTGGTTGGTTCAAGGGAGGTTCCTCTAGGGAATTTTAAGGAACCTCAAGGAACTCTGGGGAATTTCAAGCAACTCTAGGACTCTACCCACCCTCTTGTACCTAATTACCAGGCTTCCGGCTTCGGGATTCCATAAACTTGGTGCTCCGATGGAATTGAAATGGGCGTGACTTTTAAGCATCCCCCGTCCCAAGGCTTGCCAGATCCGGATTCTCATGCCACCTAAATGAGGTCCCAAAGGTTTCCCCCACAGGCGTTACTGGAGTCCCGTAAGGAAGTGGCCCTTTTTGATAAGGCCACTTCATTGCCCCTCTTGCCTGGGTCTAGAATGGGTGTGTGTGTGTGTGTGTTTTTTTGGGGGGGCGGGGGAGGGGGGCTTAAAGGGCAACAGAAACAACCCCACTTGACGGGACAAACCCATCTGCCGAAAGGCTTCGGATCTCCAAGAAACGGAATTAGGGCTTGACGAGAATTCACCCAAAACCCTGGGCCCGCTAAACCATCTCAACTTACTTGTATGGCATTTGGGGCTTTGAACCCAAAGGCCGTCTTTGCTCTGCATGTGCGACTAGTTTTTTTTTCTTTTTCTCGCGGGTTTGTTTTTTCGGTCTGTCTGTCTGTCTGTCCTGTCGCCGTTCAGCCAGCCGGTCGCTAGCAAGCCTGAGGAAGGCCAAGCCGGACCGCTCGAGCTGGATGCGCACCTGGTCTGCCAACCTCCGGGTTGAGAAGGCCGAGCGCCCGGGAGCGTTTTTTTTCTTCTTTTTTTGTCGCCAAACAGGTCGGTCCAGAGGAGAGCGCCCAAATTCCATCGCCTGACCTCGCCTTGAGGCAAGACGTTGCTGTGGAAGGCGCCAAGCGTTTTGTGACAAAGCTTTCTTTGGTAAGGCAATCCCGTAGTCTGCCTCCTGGCCCGCTTCGGTATCGCAAACCTTGCAGGATTCCTTCGAAAGGGCTTCCCTTAGGGTGGCGATGTTGCGGTTTGTTGTGCGGAAGATCTTCCGCGAAAGCTATGGAAGATTCAGGAAGCCCAAAATTGCAGCTTTCCCTGTAAGCCAACAAAAAAGGGAACCCTTAAAAAGCGCATGTCCAAATGGGGCACGACTCGAACTAGCCCGAAAGACAGTTCTTTGCTTTGTGCGAAACAGGACATGGCCCCACTTGCAACGTCAAAAGGGGTCCAGGGAGGGGGCTGTTCCCTTTTTTCCTGGGTTGGGCATTGGTTTGTTGTTTGGCTCGGGCCTTGGAACATGGATCATTTGCATCCTTCGCCCAAATTCGGGGAGTTTCACAATCCATTTTTTGTTTGGGGAGAACTGGCTGCACCCTCCCACCCCGTGTGAAGCCCTCCGTTCCCTTCAGCCCAGCCGCGTTTCGAGGACTTCGGGGGGGAGATGGCGGTGGAGGAGCCCCCCGTGACCATGGTGGACGCCTTCGAGGAGCTGCCCACAGGCGATTTTCTCGGGGCGGTGATTGTTGGGCGCAAGGTGTGGGGGGGTTCGGTGGTTTTGGTTCAGGTTCGTGGTCAGGAAATCAACTTTGAACTTTGGAGAAACACCCTCCATCATTTGGTGTTTGGTGTGGTGAAAGGCAATTGATTGTGAATTTTTGCTGGTGGACCCTTTTCTCTGGGAGGACACAAATACAAGCATGCCAACGTCGACAGGGTCCATGGGCCGCATTTACCTCCCCCCAACCGCCATGCGCTCGACAGCCGCGCGCGAGACGGCCGAGAGGCACCCCGGAGACTTTTCTCGCCTTCATCCAGCGAGACATCAACTGCCCCTCGGGCAAATCACCGGTGTTGAGGCCGCCAGGAACCAACCCCCCGCGCGCGACAAGGGGGGATGTTGCTTTTTTTTCTCCCATGTTGGTGTCTTTTTTTTTTTTGTGCCATAGGTGTCGTGGTCGTCCAGGGTGCTTTTCAATTCAAGCTGGAAAGTGGGAAGAGATGAATACCCAGAATGGCAACGGTGTCGTGGTTTTCCATTTAATTCCACTCGAAAAGGGTGTCCAATCTGATCTCCTCCTCGGTATGGAGCCCCAACCTTTGAAAGGGGACTCAAAGGGGAAGCCGTGCAAGCCCCGGTTCTAAGGACACACACACACACACGTATTGGCAAAAGGAACAAGTCCCCGCACTTTCCAGGGGCTGGACGCTTTTTGGCATTTGAGTCTTCAAATGGAGGGGATTGCTCGCCGATTTGGATATGATTTGCATGTGTTCAGACAGAAGACCTGCCCTTTGTGGATGGTTTGCAAGGCAACCGGTAGCCACGGCCATGGCTTCGGGCGTCGCTTCGATGTTCGGCCTGTCGGCCGTGGGCTTCGGCGGCCTTGAGGCCTGTCGGAGGAGAAGCTGAGCGTACGCCGGCAATCGCTGCAGAAGCTGGAGCGGGTGCTCGTGCAGCAGGTGGCGCCTCTCCGAATGTGGGGTGCGAGGCATCTTCTTCTGGGGTGCGAGGCAGCTCAAGGTCAAGCAAGGCGGGGTAGGCGTGAAGCAGCAAAGCAAAGCGAGGGGCGAACTGGTCGAACGGTGAGAGGCTGTAATGGATTGGGCTCGTTGAAGGGGTAGGCTGGGACTTCTGTCAGGCCTTCCCGCAGAAAGCTTCGATCCCAACCCTTCCATGGGGGGCGGCTTGGGTTTTTGCCCTTTCCATCTCGAGGCGAGCTGTCACAGAGCTGTCCGGGCCTTGAGCTGAGGACAGCTTAGCCACGGACATCATCGATGCGGTGATGGATGCGCTGCTGAAGCCACTGCTGAAGCGATTGAAGGACCCATGTTTGTGCCCGAATCACTTTGTTTGGTTGTTCCTGGGTCAGCATTGTGCTTGTTGCGCCGGCTTTGTAAGAATCCGGGTCTTACCTGGTGTTCCTTTCACAACCCATGGGATGTGTAGTCACGGCCATTTCGCCTCCCAATGGAATATGAAATTGACCGGTTTCCCCCCTGAGTGGATATAAGCAAGACCCGACAAAGGCCCCAAGTGGCTTTTTCATGCTTGGTTTCGAACATCCAAAAAGGGGTCCACGTGGGCAGCCCTTTCCGTTTTTCGTTTTGTGAAAGTCTTAGAGGGACACCGAAGGGACACTAACCACTGCGGCCGCCAAACCAGGGAGCACCGCCGCAGGGACCAATGGCAGGTTGGGTCAGCTGACCCTGTCCCTCCAGCCTTGCCAAATTAAAGATGCAGCGCCCAAGCAAATTTTCGGCATGTCGCCATTGTTTGGACTTCCAAGGCTCTATATTGTGGCTTTTGTTGGGTCCGCAATCCGATGCTCGCCCCTGTCTTTGACCTTTCAGCTGTTTTTCTTCTGGGCTATTCCTCTCCACGAAAGACACCCCCTTTGGGATCCTTGTTGGGCGAAGCCACTCCAAGGGACACCTCCCCTTGTCGCGAGGACCGGAGCGAGAAGTGCCGGGAGCTGGCGGTGCAGATCCTCCGGAGCTTGGTGGAGAACACCTCGGACCTGGCGGCGGCCTTGCGCCTTGGGCTGGATTCGCGCACCCGCGGGGGATCGATCCGCAGGGCATCCGCGGGACGTCTGCGGGGGGGGGGGGCACCCGGGTGCACCCGGAGGTGGATGTGTGGCTGGCTCGCTTTGTCAAGGGAGCCGGGCGGCGGGCAAAGTGGTTTGGTGGGCTTGGAAGGGAAGTTGGACAAGGCCGAAATTTTTGGGGAGGGCCAACTGCATTGGTTCGGAGGAACGCCGCTGCAAAATGGTGGGTGAAGATTCAATTTGGGACAGAGACCGTAAAAAAACCCTGTTGTGGATTCATGGTAGCTGGGTAGAACTGCCCCGTAAACCATCTTAAACCAACCCGAAACCAACCCCAAACCAACCATAAACCAACCCGAAACCAACCTAAACACACCCGACACCCATCCTAATTTAACTCTAAACCAACTCTAAACCAACTCTAAACCAACTCTAAACCAACTCTAAACCAACCTTAAAACCTTAGCCTAAACCAACCCTAAACCCAGACTGAAACCATCCAAAACCAACCCGAAACCAGCCTAAACCCACCCCCAAACCGGCCCGAAACCCAAACAAATCAACACTTGGGAGGCAAAGCCAAGCTTCCAACCTTTCAGCTACCCCTCCCACCCTGAACCCACCCTAAACCAACCATAAACCTGACTTAAAAGGGCCCTAACCCAAAAACCACAGGAAATCCTTGGGCAGTTTCTTTCAAAATCGGGTCTACGATTTTTGTGGTTGCACTGCCATTTTCTTGCAATCAGTCTGTTTTGCCTATTACGATTGCTGCTTGGCCAATAAAAGAAGGAATGGCGGTCCTTGTGGCAAACACCGCGTGAGGCGTTCATCCAAGGAGCTCCAATTCTTTTTGAGACCTTTCGGGTCCCTGGTCTATTAGTTGGTTGCCGGGTTGGGAATGAACCGGTTGCACGGCTAAAGTCAAAGGCCCTACATCTTCCCCAGCCTGGTGGCTCGCTTGGGCTCGGAGGACGCGCACAGGGGAGCCGGGGCTGGACGCCTCTGCTCCCAAAGGCAACCAGGGATCGTTGCGCTCACTTCAAGACTGGTTGGGTCACGTGGTGTCGAGACAAGCCCCTCAGTGCTGCAAATTGTTGGCTCTCACCCGCGGGAATTTGTCGGTTTCCCCTTCAGAAGGCCCGTTGAAGGACCCCCTTTGCATCTTTGGCATCAAAAGGGAATCCATTTGGGGCCACTTCTTTGTCTGCGTTGGATGAGCAAACGAGCGGAAGGAGAAGTGAGATGAGCTTCCCCCCGGGCAAAAAGCAACGAACACACACCCATATGGTCTCTTTCTCCAGCTAGAGGCTTTCCCTCGCATGAACCTTCACTTCAGAACATTCGCCGCCTTGCGCAACAACGGGCTTGGTTTCAGTGCAGCAGCAGAAATGGTCCTGGAGGGCCAGCTTGCTTCGGCAGTTTGCAGCGAACCATTCAATGTAGAGGGACGGGTTGCGCTTGGTTTCACTGAACACATACACATCCCGAACATACAGCAAGCCAATCAGATGCCATGATGTACGTCGGATGTCCACCTCATGTTTCTTGCTTGCCCACATTTTTATTTCCATCCCTCTGGGCAAATTTTCAAACAATCCCTCAACGCCCAAGCATTTTTTTGTTTGGGGAGATGAACCCAGACCACGCCAGCCGCCCGATGGTTTTTCCGCAGGACTTGGACGGGGTGGCGCACCTGCCGGAGGTGATGCGCCCAGACCCGGAGCAGAAGCCCATGGAGATCGCGCAGCCCGTGGAGGTGCCGGGCTCGGGGGCGCCTGGGGGTGCTGGACACTCGTAGCCACGAGAAGCCAAGGAAGGAGGTGGCATCGACGGGCCCCAAATTGATGAATCTGGCTGCGGTGTCGACCAGATTTTAAGGGGACATCGGCGATGATGACATTTTTTGCTTTGCTAGTTCGCGTGGCAGATTGCCATATTGGTGCAATTTCGAATCATGCTTGCGTTACGCAAGGCGATTCGTCTGCAGCATGGCCACTACTCGAAGTCGCTTGGACGTGCTTGTAAGTTCATTTGAGTTTTGGCGGCAAGCGCACTTCTTCTGCAGAAGGCGCGAACCATCTTAAAAAAATCTGGCTGGTGTTCACTGTGAAGATTCACTCGCTTGATATTTTGACGGTTTCCCTGCGGACTTGCCTCTTAAACCGATCCAAAAGGGTACCATCAAAATAATACGCCCATTTTATGGGGGCGGGATGTGTGGAGATGGCGGCGCAACAGGGAAACAAATGCAGGTTCATTCGGTTTCTCTTCCTTTGTTGTGACTGTTTAAAATATTCAGTTTGGCTTGGGCTATTTCAACCATGTCGCCTTTTCCACCCACGCTCAGGTGGAACCTTTGCAGGTGTACAACCAGACATAGAAAACGTCAGGGGGAACATCTCCGTACCCCCTGCTTGATTTGGTTCCATTTGCTTTGCAGAAGATGTTGTATTTGCCCTGACTCTTTCAAAGGGAATCCATCACTGGACATATTGCAGTATTTCCAGGGGACTTCGGCAAATGGGTGTGTGTCAATATTGGGAACCCTCCAAATGGCTGGTTCCCTTTGGTTTCCCGTTGAAACAACCCCAACAGGGGGGTTGCCCTCCAAAGGCGACAACCCCTGAACTTCCGTTTAAGGTTCCACTTTTTTCTCCTTTATGGGGAATACACTCACAAAAGCATGCAGTTGGGGGACCCCCCCACTGGGCCCACCCCCCTCCCCCTCTATCGGTACGGGGGCCAAGACGACAGGACAGCGAGGAGGTGCGGCTGCAGCTGGGCCGCTTTGTGGCGGCGCTGCTGGGGAGGTGTAGCCCCACCCAGGTCTACTCCTACGTGGACGAGGCGGGAGGAGCGAGCTCTCAACACCCCGCTTTGGGTGGATTGTATTGGGCAACCAAAAGGAGGAGCATTTGTGTGGGGTTCCCTATTTTTGTTTTATTTTCATTGCAAACACCGTAGTTAGCTGATTTTCGGCTGGACTTTACCAGCGGGAAGTTCAGTTGATCATAGCCAAAGACCCAACAAAAAACCCATTGGGGGGTTGGCTGTTCTGATTTCAGCAGAATCTTTTGCCAGTGTCTTTGCCAAGTTGATGGGAGGCAATGTTCGAAGGATTCTGCTCGCTTCTGTTGCATGGGCGCTAGCAGGCGTGGTTTTGGTTCGTGGCCAAGGGATCGGGAAGTTGAGGAGTCAGGGTAAGGGGGGGAAGCCAAGATTGGCTCGATGACTCGTGGCACGAAAATGCACGGGATGCGCAAACCACTCGCAAACGAGCAAATATGAAAGGAATGTTCCTGAGTGATGTCGCGAGCCCCTTGCGGTTGCTGCAACTTGCCCCTCCGCACGATGGCTGACATGCGAAATCATTCAGAAACCCGCTTGCTCTCCTACTGTGCTACGGGGAGGGGGGGGGCGGACAAATGCCTGACGCTCAGCCAATAGCGACTTTGCTCTTGAGCCCAGGGCTCGCTCCCTTCCGTGGAAGGGCGGGGTGTCCTCATCCATTTGTGCCCCGCTTTGCAGACTTCCATGGTCCAATGGTCTCCCTTGGTTGGTGAAAGGGATATCATGTGTAACTCATGCCAGCTCAGGGTGAGCATACCGGACGTGTTTTCCCGCTCTTGGCAAATCAAGCTGCAATGCTTAATGGCCTCTTGTTTCCATGGTTCTAACCCACTTGTCTTTGCTGTTACGCACAGGTAGAGAAGCCAGGCAAGTTGGACAAACATGGGGGTCAGGGGGTCCCCCCTCCATCATTTTGGTTGAAGGCACTGGCTCAAGGCCTTCCTTCTTCTTTGTTGGGGCTCTGAAAGCTCTGCGAATTTTCTTTTTTTGGGACACGCTCCCGCTCCCGGCTCCCAGCTCCCAGCTCCCAACCCCCCCCCCCCCCTGGCGCTTTCGAGTGATGTTGGAGGCCACCGGCTTGATCCGCGCGGCGGCCATGGACCCCTTCCACGAGGTGAAGGCCCTGGCGTGCGAGACGATGGTGGCCTTCTGCTCCTCGGTCGAGCGAGCGAGCGAGCGGATTGGGCTGGGAAGGATGGATGGCTGGTGGCGGGGGGTGGCGGGGGGATGGCTGGGGATCGCTGGTGAGGGGGGGGGGGATGGCAGGGGGGGGGGGGTTTGCCAGGTTGCCACCAAGAAGGCGAGCGATCCGTTTGTTTTGTTCTTCTTTGGATGGGTCAGGGAAGCCGAAAGAAGCCAAGCACTAATTTGGGATAGGCGGTGGTTGCCACTTATTTCAAGAACCCGCATCAAGAGCAAAAGGGAAGCATTTTTTTCGGATGGCTGTGAAATCAATCCACACAGCAAGCGGTGTTTCATTTTTTAAGGCAAACCGATCGTGCCTTCCATCTTCCAAAGGCCCCCTGCTTCCCACTTTGAAGCCATGCAGGGCTAGCTGAAACATGCTTAATACCTAGTTTTTCGATGTTCATTATTTGGTTCCTCTCGAAAGTTTGCAAGGGCCTGTTCTTCCTTCCCCCAATCTTTTCTGTTCAGCCTTTCGTTGTAGGCTGCAACCACACGGAGATGCTGCTGCACTTTGCACTGCCCATGGCGCGATCTCTCACGCGCCTTTGGCTGGTCGGTTTGTGGGCTTGTCGGCACTTGTGAGGGGATGCGCTTCTTTCCAGTGAACAGAATGGGGAGTGTACGGCTGGACTACAGTATACTGTAGTCGCTTTCCAACAATCATAGACGCTCTTGCATAGGCTCCTTGTCCGGGACAGTTGCTATTTTTGTTTTCAGATTGTGATGAGAAGCAAGTGTCTATGATTGTTCTCCAACCCCGAACCAATATTTTTTTCCCGAAAGGAGTCTTGTCATGAAGCCAAAATCTCCGGTGAGTGAACTTGAGAGTACTTAGTAAGTGGTCAATGAATAGATTCAGAACCACGATAGCCAGCGTCACCCTGCCCTGCTCCTTCAAGTAGCGAGCAGGGGAAGAGTCCGAACTCTAGTGAGCAGGGGTTGATTGGCGTCATTTTGTGATTGGTAACATTTGGTTTTGGTCGAGGGATTCTAGCGTCTGGCGATCCCATACAGAAAGTTCACTTGTTTCCCCCGCGAAGCCATTTTGGCTCTAAATTTGGATCTCCAACCTGTGAAAATCATCCCAAATCGAAACGCCGCGCAAACAACGCTGGGTGTGTCTGCCTTTAAAAACTCTTGGACCCCCCAAATTGGTGGTTTCCTTTTGGTTGCTCCTTAAAACCGCAAACAAAAATTTTAACGCCTCCGGCTCAGGCCGCCGACATTACAGGCCTGCTTTCTTACTTGCGTCCCTTTGGAATTGTCCCCTTGCCCCCTTCCCCTCTGAGATTTTTTGCCCCCCTTTCTTTGTTAAGATCCATTCCCCCTTTCCGCCCTAAGGCCTTTTCTCCCTCTGATTTTTTCCCTTTTCCTCCCTAAGATGTTTTCCCCCCTCTCCCTGTTGAGATCCTTTCCCCCCTTTCCCCCCTAAGGCCTTTTCCTCCCTGAGATCTTCTCCCTTTTCCTCCCTTTCCCCCACTTCCCCCCTACGGCATTTTCCTCCCTGGGATATTTTCCCTTTTCCTCCCTAAGATACTTTGCCCCCTTTCCCGGTTGAGATCCTTTCCCCCCTTTCCCCCCTACGGCCTTTCCCCCCGCTGAGATCTTCTCCCTATTCCTCCTTAAGATCCTTTGCCCCCTTTCCCTGTTGAGATCCTTTCCCCCCTTCCCTTTAAGGCCTTTCCAGATCTTCTCCCTTTTCCTTCCTAAGATTGTTTCCCCCCTTTCCCTGTTGAGATCCTTCCCACCCTTTCTCCCCTCAGGCCTTTCCCCCCCCCGAGAGCTTCTCCCTTTTCCTTCCTTAGATCTTTCTCCCTTTCCCTGTTGGCCTTTTTTCCCCCAGATCTTCTCCCTTTCCTCCCTAAGATCTTTTCCACCCCTTTCCCTGTTGAGATCATTTCTCCCCTTTCCCCCCTAAGGCCTTTGCCCCCAGATCTTCTCCCTTTCCTCCCTAAGATCTTTCCCCCCCTTTCCCTGCTCAGATCCTTTCCCCCCTTTCCCCCCTAAGCCCTTTCCCCTCTGAGATCTTCTCCCTTTTCCTCCCTAAGATCTTTTGACACCTTTCCCTGTTGAGATCGATTCCCCCTTTCCCCCCTAAGGCCCTTTCTCCCTCTGAGTTTTTCCCTTTTCCTCCCTACGATGTTTTCCCCCCTCTCCCTGTGAGATCCTTTCCCTCCTTTCCCCCCTAAGGCCTTTCAGCGGGGGGAAAGGCCTTAGGAAGGAAAGGAGGGAAAGGATCTCAACAGGGAAAGGGGGGGAAAGATCTCAGTGAGGAAAGGGAGAAGATCCCAGGCAGGGAAAAGGCCTTAGGGGGGAAAGGGGGAAAGGATCTCAACAGGGAAAGGGGGCAAAGGATCTTCGGAGGAAAAGGGAGAAGATCTGAAAAGGCCTTAGGGGGAAAAGGGGGAAAGGAGCTCAACAGGGAAAGGTGGGAGAGGATCCTAGGGAGGAAAAGGGAGAAGATCTTGGGGGGAAAGGGGGAAAGGATCACAAGCAAGGGAAAAGATCTTGGGACAAGGGAGAAGATCTCAGGGGGGGAAACGCCTTAGGGGGGAAAGGGCGGGAACGGATCTCAACAAGGAAAGGGGGGAAAAGATCTTAGGAAGGAAAAGGGGGAAGATTCCCTATTCCTCCTTAAGATCCTTTGCCCCCTTTTCCCGTTGAGATCCTTGCCCTTCTTCCCTTTAAGGCCTTTCCAGATCTTTTCCCTTTTCCTTCCTAAAATTGTTTCCCCCCTTTCCCTGTTGAGATCCTTCCCACCCTTTCCCGCCTAAGGCCTTTCCCCCCCTGAGAGCTTCTCCCTTTTCCTTCCTTAGATCTTTCCCCCCTTTCCCTGTTGGCCTTTTTTCCCCCAGATCTTCTCCCTTTCCTCCCTAAGATCTTTTCCACCCCTTTCCCTGTTGAGATCATTTCTCCCCTTTCCCCTCTAAGGCCTTTGTCCCCAGATCTTGTCCCTTTCCTCCCTAAGATCTTTCCCCCCCCCCCCTTCCCTGCTGAGATCCTTTTCCCCCTTTCCCCCCTAAGGCCTTTCCCCCCCCTGAGAGCTTCTCCCTTTTCCTTCCTAAGATCTTTTCCCCCCTTTCCCTGTTGGGCTTTCCCCCCTAAGTCCTTTTCTCCCAGATCGTCTCCCTTTCCTCCCTAAGATCTTCCCCCCCCTTTCCTCCGTAAGATCTTTCCCACCCTTTCCCTGTTGAGATCCTTTCCCCCCTTTTTCTCCCAAGGCCTTTCCCCCCCCCTGAGAGCTTCTCCCTTTTCCTTCCTAAGATCTTTTCCCCCCTTTCCCTGTTGGGATCTTCTCCCTTTCCTCCCTAAGATCTTCCCCCCCCTTTCCTCCGTAAGATCTTTCCCACCCTTTCCCTGTTGAGATCCTTTCCCCCCTTTCCCTCCCAAGGCCTTTCCCCCCCCTGAGAGCTTCTCCCTTTTCCTTCCTAAGATCTTTTCCTCCCTTTCTGTGTTGGGCTTTCCCCCCTAAGTCCTTTTCTCCCAGATCTTCTCCCTTTCCTCCCTAAGATCTTCCCCCCCCCCTTTCCTTCCTAAGATTGTTTCCCCCCTTTCCCTTGTTGAGATCCTTCCCACCCTTTCCCCCTGAGGCCTTTCCCCTCCTGAGAGCTTCTCCCTTTTCCTTCCGTAGATCTTTCCTCCCTTTCCGTGTTGGCCTTTTTTCTCCAGATCTTCTCCCTTTCCTCCCTAAGATCTTTTCCACCCCTTTCCCTGTTGAGATCATTTCTCCCCTTTCCCCTCTAAGGCCTTTGTCCCCAGATCTTGTCCCTTTCCTCCCTAAGATCTTTCCCCCCCCCACCTTCCCTGCTGAGATCCTTTCCTTTTCCCCCTTTCCCCCCTAAGGCCTTTCCCCCCCCTGAGAGCTTCTCCCTTTTCCTTCCTAAGATCTTTTCCCCCCTTTCCCTGTTGGGCTTTCCCCTAAGATCTTTCCCACCCTTTCCCTGTTGAGATCCTTTCCCCCCTTTCCCTCCCAAGGCCTTTCCCCTCTGAGAGCTTCTCCCTTTTTGCTTCCTAAGATCTTTTCCCCCCTTTCCCTGTTGGGCTTTCCCCCCTAAGTCCTTTTCTCCCAGATCTTCTCCCTTTCTTCCCTAAGATCTTCCCCCCTCCCTTTCCTTCCTAAGATTGTTTCCCCCCTTTCCCTTGTTTCCGTAGATCTTTCCCCCCTTTCCGTGTTGGCCTTTTTTCCCCCAGATCTTCTCCCTTTCCTCCCTAAGATCTTTTCCACCCGTTTCCCTGTTGAGATCATTTCTCTCCCCTTCCCCCCCTAAGGCCTTTGCCCCCAGATTTTCTCCCTTTCCTCCCTAAGATCTTTCCCCCCCTTTCCCTGCTCAGATCCTTTCCCCCCTTTCCCCCCTAAGGCCTTTCCCCCCCCGTGAGATCTTCTCCTTTTTTTTCCTAAGATCTTTTGCCACCTTTCCCTGTTGAGATCCATTCCCCCTTTCCCCCCTAAGGCCCTTTCTCCCTCTGAGTTTTTCCCTTTGCCTCCCTACGATGTTTTCCCCCCTCTTTTGGTTGAGCCTCCTTTCCCCCCTAAGGCCTTTTTTTCCCCCGCGATCTTCCCCTTTTTCCTTCCTAACATCTTTTCCCCCCTTTCCTTGTTGAGATCCTTTCCCCCCTTTCCCCCCTAAGGCGTTTTCCACCCCAAGATCTTCTCCCTTTTCCTCCCTAAGATCCTTTGCCCCCTTTCCCGGTTGAGATCCTTTCCCCCCTTTCCCCCCTAAGGCCTTTCTCCCCCGAGATCTTCTCCCTTGTCCTCCCCAAGATCTTTTTCCTTGGTTGAGATCCTTTCCCCCTTTCCTTCCGAGATCTTCTCCCTTTTCCTCCCTAGGATCTTCTCCCACCTTTCCCTGTTGAGCTCCTTTCCCCCTTTTCCCCCTAAGGCCTTTTCAGATCTTCTCCCTTTTCCTCCCTAAGATCCTTTGCCCCCTTTCCCTGTTGAGATCCTTTCCCCCTTTCCCCCCTAAGGCCTTTTCCCTGCCTGGGACCTTCTCCCTTTCCTCACTGAGATCTTTCCCCCCCTTTTCCCTGTTGAGAGCCTTTCCCCCCTTTCCCCTCTACGGCCTTTTCCCCCGCTGAGATCTTCTCCCTATTCCTTCTTAAGATCCTTTGCCCCCTTTCCCTGTTGAGATCTGTTTTTCTCTTTTTTTTAAGGCCTGTCCAGATCTTCTCCCTTCTCCTTCCTAAGATTGTTTCCCCCCTTTCCCTGTTTGAGATCCTTCCCACCCTTTCCCCCCTCAGATGTTTTCCCCCCTCTCCCGGTTGAGATCCTTTCCCTCCTTTCCCCCCTAAGGCCTTTTTTCCCCCCGCGATCTTCCCCTTTTTCCTTCCTAAGATCTTTTCCCCCCTTTCCTTGTTGAGATCCTTTCCCGCCCTTTCCCCCCTAAGGCGTTTTCCACCCCAAGATCTTCTCCCTTTTCCTCCCTAAGATCCTTTGCCCCCTTTCCCGGTTGAGATCCTTTCCCCCCTTTCCCCCCTAAGGCCTTTCTCCCCCGAGATCTTCTCCCTTGTCCTCCCCAAGATCTTTTTCCTTGGTTGAGATCCTTTCCCCCTTTCCTTCCGAGATCTTGTCCCTTTCCCTCCCTAGGATCTTCTCCCACCTTTCTCTGTTGAGCTCCTTTCCCCCTTTTCCCCCTAAGGCCTTTTCAGATCTTCTCCCTTTTCCTCCCTAAGATCCTTTGCCCCCTTTCCCTGTTGAGATCCTTTCCCCCTTTCCCCCCTAAGGCCTTTTCCCTGCCTGGGACCTTCTCCCTTTCCTCACTGAGATCTTTCCCCCCCTTTCCCTGTTGAGAGCCTTTCCCCCCTTTCCGCTGAGATCTTCTCCCTATTCCTCCTTAAGATCCTTTGCCCCCTTTCCCTGTTGAGATCCTTTCCCCCCTTCCCTTTAAGGCCTGTCCAGATCTTCCCCCTTCTCCTTCCTAAGATTGTTTCCCCCCTTTCCATGTTGAGATCCTTCCCACCCTTTCCCCCCTCAGGCCTTTCCCCCCCCTGAGAGCTTCTCCCTTTTCCTTCCTTAGATCTTTCCCCCCTTTCCCTGTTGGCCTTTTTTCCCCCAGATCTTCTCCCTTTCCTCCCTAAGATCTTTTCCACCCCTTTCCCTGTTGAGATCATTTCTCCCCTTTCCGCCCTAAGGCTTTTGTCCCCAGATCTTCTGCCTTTTTTCCCTAAGATCTTCCCCCCCCCCCCCTTTCCCTTCTGAGATCCTTTTCCCCCTTTCCCCCCTAAGGCCTTTCCCCCCCCTGAGAGCTTCTCCCTTTTCCTTCCTAAATCTTTTCCCCCCTTCCCTGTTGGGCTTTCCCCCCTAAGTCCTTTTCTCCCAGATCTTCTCCCTTTCCTCCCTAAGGTCTTCCCCCCCCCCCCTTTCCTCCCTAAGATCTTTCCCACCCTTTCCCTGTTGAGATCCTTTCCCCCCTTTCCCTCCCAAGGCCTCTCCTTTCCTGAGAGCTTCTCCTTTTTTGCTTCCTAAGATCTTTTCCCCCCTTTCCCTGTTGGCTTTTTTTCCCCAGATCTTCTCCCTTTCCTCCCTAAGATCTTTTCCACCCCTTTCCCTGTTGAGATCATTTCCACCCTTTCCGCCCTAAGGCCTTTGCCCCCAGATCTTCTGCCTTTCCTCCCTAAGATCTTTCCCCCCCCCCCCCCCTTTCCCTTCTGAGATCCTTTTCCCCCTTCCCCCCCTAAGGCCTTTCCCTCCCCTGAGAGCTTCTCCCTTTTCCTTCCTAAATCTTTTCCACCCTTTCCCTGTTGGGCTTTCCCCCCTAAGTCCTTTTCTCCCAGATCTTCTCCCTTTCCTCTCTAAGGTCTTCCCCGCCCCTTTCCTCCCTAAGATCTTTCCCACCCTTTCCCTGTTGAGATCCTTTCCCCCCTTTCCCTCCCAAGGCCTTTCCCCCCCTGAGAGCTTCTCCCTTTTTGCTTCCTAAGATCTTTTCCCCCCTTTCCCTGTTGGCATTTTTTCCCCAGATCTTCTCCCTTTCCTCCCTAAGATCTTTTCCACCCCTTTCCCTGTTGAGATCATTTCTCCCCTTTCTCTCCTAAGGCCTTTTTGCCCCAGATCTTCTGCCTTTCCTCCCTAAGATCTTTCCTGTTGAGATCATTTATTGCCCCCCTTTTTCATTCTAAGGCCTTTTCCCACCCTCAGTTCTTCTCCTTTTTCCTCCTAAAGATCTATTTCCCTTTTCCTCCCAAAGATCTTTTCTCCCTTTCCTCCCTGAGATCCTTTCCCCCTTTCCCCCCTTCATTTTCTTCACCAGCATGGGCAACATCCCCAGCATCACTTGCATCATCCGCATCCTTGGCAGGCGCTGATGCGGATGATGCAGGTGATGCTGGCGATGTGCCGCTGGAGCATGCGAAAGCGCACCCGGGGGGAATCGAACACCCCAATGTTTTTGACAAACTGAGTTGCGCAAGCCCGCACAATGAACAGATTTAGTGAAGCGTCTTCGAATCACCGCGTGGTACGTGGACCCCCCCCCGCAATAGTCTGAAATGGGGATGTTTTGTGTCCAACACGCTGTCTGTTGTCGGCGGATATCCACAAAAAGTACACACCCAACCGGCTTTACGGAATGGTGATGTTTAAGCTCACGTTTGGTTCACAGACATTAGGACATACAGGAACAACTCGGGGACCTCACCTCAAATAGTTGGTGTGTGTGTGCGCGTTTGTTTCTTGAGTTGGTACCCTTTGTGGGGCTCAACAAGAACTCGAGACCGAACCAGTGGTCACCACTTTGCCTGTTTTCCATGCGCGTAGCCACGCCGGAAAAACTGTCCACGCCATTTGCTCAAAGGCATCCTGCCAACTTTTCGATCTGGAGGTCCCTGCTAAAGCGAGTGTTCCTTTTAGCATTGTGTGATTTGTGTCTTTTACAACATGACATGTTCCCTCTCTCTCTCTCTCTCTCTCTCTCTCTCTCTCTCTCTCTCTTTCTCTCTCTTTTTGACTTAAAGGGCATTCTCCAGTTTACCCCTTGCAGGAAGTGTTAACTGGCTCTGTGATTGGACACTTCAGTTTGCTCCTTTGCGATCCGTCAAGTGGGTAAATGGTCAATCATTTCCTGCTCGTTTGCTCCCTCAAAACTCCAGCCAGTTGAGATGTTGTTTTTCCTTTTGGACGCCTTACTAACCTTCATCTACGGTTTTGAGCACGTGGCTCAGTTGAGGGGAGTGTTGCTGTCTTTCCCGAGGTCCTGCCTCACCCACAACCACGCCAAGATCCGCATGGCCGCCCTGCGCGCCATCACAGCCTGTCTCTTTTGCGGGGCCTCTCGCCTCAGAAGGTCCAGCTGCAAGAAGTGCCGGGCTCGCGCGGATCCGAGGGGTCCAACACGAAGTGGTCAGGGGGGGAAATGAATCCTACTTGCTCCTTTTCATTTCTTTTTTTTGGGGGGACCACCTCATACGTGCCAGGTCACACACGCACCTTTTTGTTTTTTTGTTTTTCGTTTTTCTCTCTCTCTCTCTCTCTTCTGGGGGCTGGGCTTCCTTTGCTAGGGAGCCACCAGTGCCCACAGAGGAGTTCTTTTGCGGGGAACTGCACTATTTTCTCTCCCAACAAACATCCGCTGGCTGGAGGTCTGGAAGCACAACTTCGAGATCTTCCAGGTGCTGATGGCCTGGCAGGATCCCAACAAGGTCCCCATCAAGGCCTTCTACGAGGGTGTGACTAACGCCCCTCGGAATTCGGAATGGAATCCAACGATGCAGACGGGAGACGGGGGGGGAGGGGGCCGAAGCATGTGGACGCCCTAACGGCATTTGCCCAAACTTCTCCGGGGTGGGCTGGGACCCGTCGCTGGGGTGAACACAATTTGAGTTGCCTTACAGTCCTTTCGTTCTCATACATTGCCTGCAATGCAAAGAGCATCCTTGGTACTCCATTCATTTTTTCCGCACCGGATCCACGGAAGCATGGACATCAAAATCCCTCCCAGCGCCGGGGACGAGGTGAACTACATGTCCACCTTGAGCTTCGATCGCCACCCCGCGGTGCGCCGGTTCTGGTTCGAGACCCTGGGCTACTGGATGCTGCGGTGCACAGACAAGGTGCGGCGGAGAAGATCCCGGCGGTGGCCCGAAATATTGCAAGGGGGAGAGGGGAAATCGGCTTTTCACCGGGGTTTTGAACTTTACGACAGAATCCCATAGAATCCCCAATTCACGTCTGTTAGAAGCCCCCGAAGAACGGATTTACCCGGGCTGGTCCTAATTCCTTTTGTTTGGGTCTTGTCCACATCATGGGGTTTGTAATAGATCCCCTTTTCGTCCCTGTTCGTCACTCTTGAAGTATCTACATTCAAGAGTCATTTCGCGCAAACAAAATCCGGTTAAGCGGTATGGTCAATGACAATATCGCTGGCGCGGTCCAGGGCCACCACTGGTACGGGTGCAAGGGTGAAACCGGATGGTAGGGGTGCAGGGAAGCTTAGAGGGTCGCGACCGACCGTGCTGAAAGTATTCCTTTCGCAGGTGGTTCTGGCCCCAGGTTTTTGAGGTGAGGGAAGAGGCCAGAACGTTCACATCCATTAAGGTGCATGCCCTCCCTGTTGATCCCCTTTCAATTTTCTTGCGGAACAACATGCTCATCAAGGAGAGCCTCTTTCAGTGCTCCACAAACACAAGAGGCATGAATGCGTCGTGTCCAAAGTCTCTAGCTTTTTTGGGACTGCAGACAAGGACCCCGAGCTTTGTCTCCCCATGGGCGGGGTTTCCCAAACGATAAACGTTGATCAATACTCAAGACTAAAACATCGTTAAACGGCTTCCTGGTGGCTGGTTGGGGCGCTGTTTGGCAGCTCTTTGGTTTCCACAACCTCTACAGAATGTCCTCCTTTGGAGGCCGAGGGCGTTTCGGGCGGAAATGGCCTCTGCGTTTCCGACAAACTTAGCTCCCAAGGGTGACACGCGCCCGGTTTTGGTGGGGGGGGGGTGGGGTTGGGGGTGTGGCCTTTTGCGAGGTGGACTTAGAGCCGTACATCGCCCCATACCTCCTGACGGGCCTTTGCGACGAGAATGAGGCGACGAATCCCTCGGGTTCACGAACGTCGGCTCGGTGTGACACTGAAGGAGGGCCATAGCATGGGTTATGATCCATCTGGATGGTTGAGGGAAAACGGGAGAGCCCATAGAGCGGGGAACTAGACTTGGCCCTAAAAACAGTAGCTAAAGCCAATTTAAGTTAAGTGAGTTTCTCTTGGTGGTGATTCTTTCTGATTGCAACTGCAGGGATCCCTGCTTCGCTCTGCTGACATTGTGCATTGGAACCGCCGGGAATCGAAGTGACTGCGGGTCAAAGCAGCAACTGGACTCTACAAGTGCTGCATGAACACGTCAACATATCGACATGCAGATATTATGTCAGCATGTCCATTGACGTGACATTTTGTCCTCATGGCTGCGGCATACCTGCCTTGAACCATTGCTTTGCAAGAATAGAAGATCCGTCGTCCTGAGGAGATCGCGTTGGAGGTCTTTTGGCTCATCGAGAAGATCGGGGAGGCGGATGGGTTCGTGTTTTCTGGAGGGTACAACTTTCCGGGAAGGTGTCTGTGTCTGTCTGTCTGTCTGTCTGTCTGTCTGTCTGTCTGTCTGTGCGCGTCTGTGTCTGTCTGTGCGCGTGTGCGCGTGTCGCGCGCGCGCTCGCGTGTGTGTGTGTGTGTGTGTGTGTGTGTGTGTGTGTGTGTGTGTGTGTGTGTGTGTGTGTTTTGTTGCGAGGAAACACGCCGTGCCCCCTTTCTGCTCGGTTTCAAGGGAACCATGCTATTTCAAGTAGTTCCAGGCAGTTGCAGATGCGGGGCAGGACCACAACATGTTTGTCGGGCGCAGATGGCAGTTGCCGGCGTTTGGACGACGGATCACTTCTACCAGCTGTTAAGAACTTGTTTGTTGAAGAGGCAGCCAGAAGAAGGAAAGCAACACTTTGGAGGAGCAAGACATTTACTCCAACCCCCCGAATCGTCCGTGGCCAACATGCGAGTCTCGGCCATTGGACCTCTCTCTCTCTCTCTCTCCTCTCTCTCTCTCTCTCTCTCTCTCTCCCTTTCTCTCTCCCTCTCTCTCTCTCTCTCTCTCTCTCTCTCTCTCTCTCTCTCTCTCTCTCTCTCTCTCTCTCTCTCTCTCTCTCTCTCTCTCACTCTTGTTGGGCGCCACGGGGCCGCGCAAGGTTTTTCGGCCGAATGGGCAGATGTTCGGGTTTTCCCTTAAAGTATGGGTTTCCTGTTGAAGCATGCCTTGTCCCAAAATGGGCACCACAGCTCCTCGGAATTGGGAGGGCTTCCGCGTGCTTTTCCCTCTTGAACACCAGCTTCCGAAGCGGAATAGGTGCGCGTCTGGCAGTCTGCAGGCCTATGAGGAGGAGCACGAGTCGGACCTGCGGAAGACGAAGCAGTATGGCCTTTCGGCTTTTGTCTTTTGGCTTTTTGGGGTGTCTCAAAACATACTGATGGACAACGTTTCATTTGGCACCGCCTGAGAAACCATGGTTGAAACAGTTGAAACCATTGGTGGTTGGTATTTGCAGGGCAATCATCATGCCAGGGTTTCTTCGGTGCAGGATTTCGTCCACAGTAGGTTTGACTCATGGCTCTTTTAGGGGGACACAGGCATTGACTCCGCGGTTTTGGAGGAACACAGGGACGAAAATACACACCTAGTAGGTGTGGGTGATTCTGGGTTTTGTTCATCGACCTTTTCGGTTTTGACGGGAACATCGAAGGGACGCCAACCGCCTGAAGGCGTTCCGAAGTCTGAGAAACACCATTTTTCCCTGCTTTCCTCTGGCTTTCTACTTGACGCTTGGGGGACAGAAAGAAAAGAGAGGAGGTTTTCTAGCTGTGTCTGGTTGAGGGGTTTGCACCTTAATTTGAAGGTAAACCAAAAGGAACACTGCCACTTTGGATCCTCCTACTTTGACATACTTTGACACATGCTCCAACATGCTTTTTAGCCCACAATTGTTCAGCCCCCCGCTTCTTGATTGAAGTTCACCAAATGGCTGTGCATTTTCACCACATCCAGGATCCACGATTCATACCCAAATTCGCTCGTTCTCTTGAGGGTGCGCCCAGGCTGATAAGCAAAACCAACGGCAAAGCCGCCCTGGGTCCCTATCAGAGAAAAAGGACACCTGGGCGTGGCTCAAAGTTAAACAGGAGGGGTTGCGCAGGTTTTGGTCCATGTTTGCACTTACCAGGGGTCCATTTTGGTACCGGTTTTTTGAGCCACAGCCACCTTGGGTGGACACAAGACAACTTAAGAATATCGTAACCAGGACAAGACACTGATTAATGAACACTCCCTATTAGAAAACCCCCTGTTGATTAATACGTGGTTTTTTTGGGGATTGTTCAATGTTGGAGGGGAACACCCCCATATTCACAAATTGGGGTTGATTAATAGGGGGTCAACATTAACCAGCGGCGAACGGAGGCTTCGACTACAGCTGGACCTACCAGGGCCGCGCCTTTGTGCCCTTCCCGCTGCAGGCGGGGGCCCTTAAACCATGGCTCAAACCACCAAACTGTTCAACCCACACATATCTTTGGGTTTCCTTCTTTGTGCCATATCTGTGGGGATTTCCTTGTTTCCATATATATATATATATCATGTGGGTTTTCCTGGTTTCAAGCCGTAAGACTTGTGGTTTTCCTTCAACGGGTTCCTCTTTCCACGGGCTTCTGGGCGGGCCGAACCCCCGGCAGGGCCTCTGGGGCGGCGGCAAAGCGGAGGCGGCCTCCGCGCGGCGGGGCTTCCGGGGCCCCGACCTGCTTGGGACCAAGGCGGCGGGCGTTTTCTTTCCGAGGTGCCGCTGGTTCGCTTCGCATGCCAAGGGATGTCATAGACCTTCACTTGCCAACGGATGGGTGTTCCGACTCTTTCCGGGAACGAGGTGTGGGGGGTCAACATTCAACCACCAGGATATGGACCGCAGGTTTTAGTCCTTGGTTCCATCCACCAGGGTTCCATTTTGGGGTTACCTTTTTTTTGGACCCGCACCCATGTCGCCCTGGCTCAGCTACCCTGGATTGGTTGGTGTTGAAGCCCAATGGTCGTGGGTCAACACCAATGATACCATTTTGGGGTAGGTGCACCACCCATTTTAGTCTTTTTTAGTGGGGATTGGGATGTTCACTGGGAATACGGGGTTTTGACCCATAGCCAAATGGGAAGGTAGCAATAAGGGGGAAGCTCCCGTTTGAGGTCTCCCCGGTGCAGATGGGATGCCAGGGATTGGAATCCGTGAAGCACCCTTATCCCAATGCTCCGTCTTGAGGTGGGAGGAGGCTTGGAGTCCAAGCACAAGGCTGACTCAAGGCCAAGTAAGCGCGGATTTGGGAGAAGTAATGGCCAAAGGCCCAAGCAAATGACGGTTTCCAAGGTGCAGTCATGGCCAAGCAAGGTCAGAAATAGTGTTCTTTTTGTTTTCAACGCCTAGGTTCGGACGCTTGCGCTCTTTCGGCCGCCGATGCTCGGGTCGGAGCTTTCCTCGGGTTAGGGGTCGCTTCCGCAGGCAGAGGAGGAAGAGGTGGACGAGGCGCGGCCGGTTTGTCCTTTGCTGGGGTTCTGTAGATTTCTGGTCGCGTTGATGATCACCTTTCCTAGCTGGTGGTTGGAAGGGAGCCGGACTCGGAGCTGGGGGTATCCAAATTTGCTGTTGAGTTGGAGCCTTTGGGAGCTACCAGGAGCGCTGCAGGGACATGGCAGTTTCGGGCCAACGTAAAGGGAATCCGGTTTGCCCTGGGCGAAGTCGTATGGATGCGCGGATTGGGGGCGAAAGCGAAGTCACGGTGTAGGGTTCCAATTGCAGACGAAGATTGAGGTTGACCCTGGCTCTTTGTAGAACCAGTGAACCGGGGAGTGTTTCCTAAGGCTCAAAAGAGCAAAGGGGAGCCGAGGAATGAGCCAGGGCTTCGAATCAATTCGTATTTTGACAGGTTTTTGCATTGGCGCCACTTTTTTTTTGTGTCTTGTAAATCTGAAGCCTTTGTCACCGTTCTTCCCCTTTCCTGACCAATAGTGCGGCCTTAAGAAGGTTTTTTTTGGGAACAGACCCGTACTAGATCCCCCTGAAGGATCCCTGGCGGGACGAAATCTGTTTGCACCACTTGGAAACTATGGTTGAAACCACAGTTTGTTGGTATTTACATGGGAATCGTCAGGAACCAGGGTTTTGCAGGTGCGGGTTGTGGATTTCGTCCATCCACAGTGCCTCCCAAAGGCGAACCCCGAGTGAGCGGAATACCCTTTCTTCTCGAGCAATGCCGCCCTGTGATTTTTCCGCTCAAGGGCTTAACACATCGCCTGAATGGGCAAGGCCCATTTAAGGAGTGAACTTTCCTTCGTTGGTGGTCATGTTTTAAGATTGGGAATGCAGAGATCTTAGTGGTTGCACTCTTCTAGCCTTCTTGCATTTGGGACATGTTGCATGCTTTTCTCAAGCCGTCCCAACCTGATCAGATCTTTTTTGCGCTCATAGCTCCACCCTCTCCCAGATTCATTGCTTTTCGCGATCTCCATCTTGGCACGTTCTCGTTCCGGTGCCGATGCCAGTTTCCTCGTTGGTGGTGAATTTAAAGGTGTATACAGTTCATGAGTTCAGTCAGAGTTCCTGGGTTTCTGATGCAAGGGCACGTCTCTGCTTTTACTGGGAGTGTTTTTTTTTTTAGGTGGCGCAAAGGAAGAAGGACGCCATCCTTGGTTGCGGATTCGAGATTTACTCATACTGTGGATGGACGCACCACTTTGAAACCATGAAACCATTGGCATTTACAGGGAAGCATCAGATTCCAGGGTTCCGTAGGTGCGAAATAATGGATTCCGAAACCATCCACAGTATCTCTGCAAACTGGGCGATGATGGTTTTCCTTTTGGTTTTCCGTTAAAGCCAGAAGGGGGTTCCCCAAAAAACAGCCACCCACACTGTGGATGGACGAGATCCTGTACTACATTGAACCATGGTTGAAACCATTGTTTGTCGGTATTTACAGACAAATTTTCAGAAACGGGGTTTCTTAGGTGGTGCGTTGGATGGATTTCGCACCCATCACGGGATCTCTGGGCGCCCAACCCCTCGCCCTCTCGGCCTCTCGGCCTCTCGGATCCAGGGCCTCGGGCCGGCACTGGACTTGCCCAGCCGCCCGGGGCTCGGGCGACGCACCATGCACCAGGAGGATCTCAGGTTTCCGGAAGCATCGAGGATAAGCGCCACAAGATGAGCGTTTTCGTGAATGGTTTCATGAATGTGGTTTCATGGGTGTGTTTTGTTTGGTCGACTTTGCGTATACATTTGAGCGCTGCGCAGCAACAGCAACGCGCGTTTAACGCGTGGCCGAGCGATCACAGAGTGTCGTGGCGTGTTCACTATCAAAACCCCGTAGATGAAGGTTAAAGGGATGATCGGATAATCCCAGACACAAGTACTTTGTTCGCCGCCTGATTCAATTCTTTACATGGCTGTGGGTCACAACCAATGGGATGCCATTTTGGGGTAGCTGCACCACCCATTTTCGAACTTATTTCAGTGGTTGGATCGGGATGTTCACTGGGGGTACGATTTGGATTTTGACCCATGGCCGCAGGAGCCACGTGCTCAAAACCCGGGTAGATGAAGGTCAGGGGCAGTCCCAGCCGGGAATAGTTGCGGAATTCCGCCTTTCTCTAAATCTTTACATTCTGGGTAGACCTTTTTAACACCAGGTTTTGAGCAAGTGACTCACATGGCTCCCCGGCTTGGATGGCCCAGGTGAGTACTGCTGGCCGGACTTCCGGGGCTTGGAGGTCTTCCGGCGCCTGCCGCGGCCGCGCCTGGGGAGCCGGTCCTGGGTGCGGACCCACTCGCGGCGCTACATCAAGGCGGAATTCCGATCGGAGGGGGTGGGTGGGTGAGTGGGTGGGTGTGTTTCAGCAGGTCTCGAAGTCCAACCTCGGACCATTTTTCCCTTTGAGGGCAATATGGCTGACGACGCGACCATCTGGCAAGCTTTTGCGGAGTTGCGGGTTGATGTTTCGGCTTTCGGTGCAACATGTCGTCCAGGTTGAACATGTGCGCGTGTAAACATATCTGCATTCAGGATGTATGAGTGAGCACACATACTTGGACGAGCTAAGTTAGTGAACCATATGTAAACTAGTCTTTGATAGATAAGATAGTGAAGCATACCTAAATTATGTTTGGACAGGGCAAATCATTGACCCGCCTTGTTGCCGGAGACGCCAGGCAACGTTCAACGACGTGGTGGACTTCCGGGATTGCACCGCGTTGAACGCGGGGCGGCTGCTTTGTATGTCGGTGGCCTACACGGAGGAAGGCGGGGCTCCGCAATGCTGTGGTCCTTCTTACTTTGCATGGCCGGACCGTGCCCACCCTCGTGCCTGGTGGAACGTTGGTGGAACCCTGCTGGAATCCTGGTGGAACCCTGGTGGAACTTTCAGCTGTTGGGGGAAATACATATATATATATATATATATATATTTGCTATCTTTCCCGAAAGCATTGCGAAGGGTTCTTCCGTGCGGAGCTCTTGGTCAACTTGCGCAGAGTAGCTTGCACAGAGTCACCAGCATGGAGATACCAGCATGGAGATACTCGCGCAGAGTTACGAGCACAGAGTAGCTTGCACAGAGTTACCAGCATGGAGATACTTGCACAGAGTCACCAGCATGGAGATACCAGCATGGAGATACTTGCACAGAGTCAGAGATACTTGCGCAGAGTCACCAGCATGAAGGGCCAGCATAGGGTCCTCGGCTCTTTGCACTTGGCTCTGCGCAAGTAACTGAGTTACTTTCGCAGAGCCAAGTGCAAAGAGCCGAGCGCATAGAGCCAAGTGCTCAGAGCGAAGTTCAAAGAGCGAGGTGCAAGGAGCCAAGTGCGCAGAGCTAAGCGCACAGAGCCAAGCGCAAAGAGCGAAGTGCATCGAGCCAGGTGCATAGAGCCAAGTGCATAGAGCTAGGTGCGTAGAGCTAAGCTAAGCTAGGTGTAGAGGCTCGGCGTTAGCAGCTGTGTAAGCTAGGTTAAGTAAGTTAGGTTAAGTGCTTAACGCGCAGGAAAGAAAGAGAAAGAGCTCGGTATTAAGAATCTCTTTCTTGGCGGGGGGTGGGGATGTTGCCGGCGATCGGGAATGCGACCCTCTGCGGGGATCGGCGTGGTCGAGGTGCAAAAACTCTAGTTTTTTTTGGCGTTTTTGCTTGCGAATTGGGCAATTGTCTCGTGGTTTGCGCGAGTCGCGCGGTCGCGGGTTCGATCCCCGCCTGGCCCCGGCAGCTCTGGCTGCAAAATCGGGAATTATAAGTACAAGCAGCTCCAGCTGAAAGTCGCAAATTTGAAGTACCAAAGTAGTACGCGGAGAACATTCCCGCACCTCCAGCTGCAAAATCGAGTAGTACGCGGAGTGCATTCCCGCAGCTCCAGCTGCAAAATCGCAGAAGTAACACGCGGAGTACATTCCTGCAGCTCCAGCTGCAAAATCGCAGTACAAAAGTAGCACGCGGAGTACATTCCTGCAGCTCCGGCTGCAAAATCACAAATTTTCATACAAAAGTAGTACGCGGAGTACATTCCCGCAATAACTAGTACGCAGCGTACAGTCCCGCAGCTCCGGCTGCAAAAAAGCAACTTGTGCAGAGCAATTTGCAAGCAGCGCGCATGCGCCGTAGAGCAACTCGCGCAGAGCAACTTGCATCAGAACGCCTGCGCAGAGCAACTTGCGCCGAGCAACTTGCGCAGAGCAGCTTGCGCAGAGCAACTTGCACACAGCAACTTCCGCAGCGTAACTCGCGCAGAGCAACTTGCACAGAGCGCTTTGCGCAGCGCAACTTGTGCAGAGCAAGTTGCACAAAGCACTTGCGCAGAAGCGCTTGTGTGACGAGTGATTTCACATCTGCCTGCATTACTTGGACGGTGTCTTGCGTAAGGGCCACGCAGGAAGGAACAGACAATGGGCTTCGCGTCGGACAAAATAGCAACAGCTGTTGAAGATTTTTTTGGAGATCAGGACATGCGGCAGGCCCGGGAGGGCGATGTTTGTTGCATTCCGGGATTCCCGATTTGCTGTGTTTTGCCTGACTGCAAGTGCCACTCACTGGATTAGACAGGCTTGCCATACATGCTTCACTGCATTTGAAACGTCCCGGATGGCCAGGGCTTGCTTCAACGAAATGCAAACACTTGACCATTCTTTTGGCTTGCCTCTTGGCTTTGATGTAGGCAAGGGAACCCGTTTTTCCCGAAAGCATCGCGAACGGTTCTTCCGTGCGGAGCCCTTGGACAATTTACATAGAGCCAAGTCACATAGAGCCAAGTTACATAGAGCCAAGTTACATAGAGCCAAGTTACATAGAGCCAAGTTACATAGAGCCAAGTTACATAGAGCCAAGTTACATAGAGCCAAGTTACATAGAGCCAAGTTACATAGAGCCAAGTTACATAGAGCCAAGTTACATAGAGCCAAGTTACATAGAGCCAAGTTACATAGAGCCAAGTTACATAGAGCCAAGTTACATAGAGCCAAGTTACATAGAGCCAAGTTACATAGAGCCAAGTTACATAGAGCCATAGAGCCAAGTTACATAGAGCCAAGTTACATAGAGCCAAGTTACATAGAGCCAAGTTACATAGAGCCAAGTTACATAGAGCCAAGTTACATAGAGCCAAGTTACATAGAGCCAAGTTACATAGAGCCAAGTTACATAGAGCCAAGTTACATAGAGCCAAGTTACATAGAGCCAAGTTACATAGAGCCAAGTTACATAGAGCCAAGTTACATAGAGCCAAGTTACATAGAGCCAAGTTACATAGAGCCAAGTTACATAGAGCCAAGTTACATAGAGCCAAGTTACATAGAGCCAAGTTACAGAGCCAAGTTAGAGCCAAGTTACATAGAGCCAAGTTACATAGAGCCAAGTTACATAGAGCCAAGTTACATAGAGCCAAGTTACATAGAGCCAAGTTACATAGAGCCAAGTTACATAGAGCCAAGTTACATAGAGCCAAGTTACATAGAGCCAAGTTACATAGAGCCAAGTTACATAGAGCCAAGTTACATAGAGCCAAGTTACATAGAGCCAAGTTACATAGAGCCAAGTTACATAGAGCCAAGTTACATAGAGCCAAGTTACATAGAGCCAAGTTACATAGAAGCATAGAGCCAAGTTACATAGAGCCAACATAGAGCCAAGTTACATAGAGCCAAGTTACATAGAGCCAAGTTACATAGAGCCAAGTTACATAGAGCCAAGCCAAGGTTACGGTAGAGCTTAGAGCTTCGGCGTTAGCAGCTATGTAAGTTAGTTTAGGTTTCTAAGGCGCCGGGGCGGGAGTTTGATCGTCGCTCGGGATTGCGACCCTCTGCGGAGATTCGCGTGGTCGAGGTTCAAAAACTGAGGACTTTTTACGATTTTTAGCATGCGCGCGCAACCCTCTGCGGAGATTCGCGTGGTCGAGGTCAAAAAACTGAGTTTTTTATTTTTTTTAGCATGCCCACGCGACCCTCTGCGGAGATTCGTGTGGTCGAGGTTCAAAAACTGAGGACTTTTTACGATTTTTAGCATGCGCGCGTGACCCTCTGCGGAGATTCGCGTGAAGTTCAAAAACTGAGGACTTTTTACGATTTCTGCAAGCCGCGCGCGACCCTCTGCGGAGATTCGCGTGGTCGAGGCTCAAAAACTGAGGACTTTTTACGATTTTTAGCATGCGCGCGCGACCCTCTGCGGAGATTCGCGTGGTCGAGGTTTAAAAACTGAGGACTTTTTACGATTTTTAGCATGCGCGCGGCGGAGATTCGCGTGGTCGAGGTTCAAAAACTGAGGACTTTTTACGATTTCTGCAAGCCGCGCGCGACCCTCTGCGGAGATCGTGCGCGTCGAAGCGCTCTCGCTGTGGCGCCGTGCGAATTTGTCTTAGTCTCGGCGAACCCTCTGCGGAGATTGTGCGTGTCGAAGCGCTCTCGCTGTGGCGCCGTGCAATATTCTTGCTCGCGAAACGGCCTTTGGAAGTTGTCTCGTGGTTTGCGCGCTTGCTTTCGCAATCCCGCGGTCGCGGGTTCGATTCCCCCCTGGTCCGCGGCAGCTCCGGCTTGAAAATCGCAGCTTTTAAGTACAAACGTAGTACGCGGAGCGTGCTCCTGCAGCTCCGGCTGGAAAATCGTAACTTTTAAGTACAGACGTAGTGTGCGGAGCTTGCTCCCGCAGCTCAGGCTGGAAAATCGCAACTTTTAAGTACAAACGTAGTACGCGGAGCACACCCCCGCAGCTCAGGCTGGAAAATCGCGACTTTTAAGTGCAAACGTAGTACGCGGAGCACACCCCCGCAGCTCCGGCTTGAAAATCGCAACTTTTAAGTACAAACGTAGTACGCGGAGCACATTCCCGCAGCTCCGGCTGGACAATCCCAACTTTTAAGTACAAAAATAGTACGCGAAGCACATTCCCAAGTTACATAGAGCCAAGTCGCACAGAGCCAAGTTGCGCCGAGCCAAGTGGCACAGAGCCAAGTTGCACGGAGCCAAGTTGCACAGAGCCGAGTGGCACAGAGCCGAGTGGCACAGAGCCAAGTGGCACAGAGCCGAGTGGCACAGAGCCGAGTGGCACAGAGCCAAGTGGCACAGAGCCGAGTGGCACAGAGCCAAGTGGCACAGAGCCCAATGGCACAGAGCCGAGTGGCACAGAGCCAAGTTGCACAGAGCCAAGTTGCACAGAGCCAACTTGCACAGAGCCAAGTTGCATAGAGCCAAGTGACATAGAGCCAAGTTACCATAGAGCCAAGTTACCATAGAGCCGAGTTACATAGAGCCAAGTTACATAGAGCCAAGTTGCATAGAGTCAAGTTACATAGGGGCAAGTTGCACGAGCCTGCTTTGCAGAAGCTGTTGCATCGATGTAAAAGGGCGTCTCCGCGGCTGGAAAAGCACATGATGGGAAGCGCTTGCGGAAAACTGCTTTCGGGCCAATCGTCCTCTAGTTGTTTTTGAAAGAGGGCCATCCAGAGTGGCTGGTGGAGACATTTATAGAGGGGCCGACTTTAACGCCCGCAAAAGGACGGTGAAAAGGTGATTTTGAGGGCAAACCGCCCTGGCTTTCTTTCACCAAACAACTGTGTTTCTTGGTGGAGGCCACAACAGTGTGGTTTTCAGTTTTCCTTGGAACCATCCAACGCGGTCTTTGGCCATACGTGTCCCAGAAACATCAATGTGCAAGGCGTTTGGTACGGCGATTTGGAGGATTGGGATTTTTGGGAGCCCCCCCCCGCGGTCAGCTCAGCGGATGGCAGGTGTCACGGAGTGGCTTCAGCCCATGCTTGGGGCCCTGACCAAGTTCTACTCGGGCCGGGCCTGGGCCGCCAAGGACGCCAGGCGCGGGATGCGGCATCCCGTTCTCCCCGTGCGTCCGTGCGTCCGTGCGTCCGCGTGTGTGTGTGTGTGTGTGTGTGTGTGTGTGTGTGTGTGTGTGTGTGTGTGTGTGTGTGTGTGTGTGTGTGTGTGTTTGTGTGTGTGTTTGTGGAGAATTCAAGGGCGTCAGGAAAGAAACGCGTCCCAAACGATAAGGATTATTGGCTTGGTCTAATGGGGACGGTACCAGTTTAGTCGACAAGAAGGTTCTCATGTGCCACATTTGTTTCACATGCTTACTCCGCCTCTTGCTTGTTCCCTGCGCCTATCCTTTCTGTGGTCTGGCGCGCCCAGTTTCGTGTCTGAGCCAGACCAGCAAGTGGTTTTATTCTTCTCCCGCTCTCCCCACACACTCGCTCCCACTCTTATGTTCAGGTTTGCTTTCCCCGCCTTGGACGATCGGATGCATCATTGCTTTTTTCGACATACAGCCATGCGGCACACTAAGCATTCCCTTGATATCAGCGAGAGTTGGGCACCATTGGAAGGGCCTTCGGAATGGTGCAGACATCTGAGAGGGGCCTTCCTTTTTCTGTCCGGTGTCCAGACGTGAGGACCTTTTTTGTTTCCTTCTTTTTTTGAAATTATCCTGCTTTCTGAGGTTCACCAAATATGGGTGTTTTTTCTTCCCAGAGACCCCCCCCCCCCTCGCAACAACAAATGTGGTTGTCCTTTTGGCTTCGGCTTAAAACCGCCAAAAAAGGGGGCATTCTCAAAAAAACGCACACACTACCCCCCAACTCCCAAACATCACGAGAGAAAGCTACCCGCCAAAGAAGGGAACACGGGTGCCTGCCATCCTACGAATCTCCCCTACACCAAGCACCCGCTTGTTTAGTTGGTCGTTCTTGGAAAACCCCGGTTTTCGCACTGTAAATACCGTCCTTTTCTCGTTAAAAAACGGGCAACACAACACCTTGTGAACAAAGCTCAAGCGAGGGCAACCCCGGTTTCCCACTGTCAATGCCGTCCTTTTCTCGTAAAAAGAAGAAGAGAGAAACACCTTCTCCACGGTAAATGCCGTCCCTTTCACAAAAAAAAACAAAGCAAAACCACCTGGTGACCAAAGGCGGGACCCCCGGCCTCAGCTGTAGGGCCATGGGCACCTACAGCTGCGTCTGCAAGCTGCTGGGGGCCTTCCTGGAGCCCAGCGCCCTCTGGGCCCAGCTGCAGCCCGCCCTGTCTTCGGACTCCACCCTGGCGCCTGGGACGCGGCGGGAAGCGGCGGGAACCAGCGGGGTGGGTGGGATTTTCTCCGCAAAGTCTGGGGGTAACTTCCATTTCCATTCTTAGGGATCCGGAGCTTTCTAGAAAACCGCCAACAACCCGGGATAAAAACCGGCTGTTTTCTGAAAAGAACGAGGGCTGAAAAGAACGGGGAATCAACCAATGGAAAAAGGGCGGTGGGCACCGAAAAACTGACCTGGAAGCTGACGGGGCCCCGGTCCCTTTGAAGGGCGATTTCCGCAAAGTTGCTTCGAGAGATGTGTGTGCCCCCCTTTTTTTGGCTTTTCATAGCTGACCTCTCCGCGGCGCTGTGGAGCCTCCAGATTTGCTGATGCCAATAGACGCCCCGCGCTGGGTCCAGTTCCGTGTGATCCAACTTGCGACTCTGGCATCCGCAAAGGAATGATCCTTTGTTTTTAACAAAAGGTGCGGGAAGAAACAAGGTAACTTTCTGTCCTGGTCCCGTTCCCGACAATCTGGCAGACCAAACAAGCAAAGAACACGAAGACACGCATGGAAGGCGAGAATGACAACGTTCACTTCGCGGCCAGGCATTTGTTTGGCTGCAGTGCAAAGTGCCGATCCCATGATGGGAACTCCGCCCAATATCCTGGAAAGGCATGCGTCCGGAGTTCCAATTTTATGCTTTTTGGGAAGATGATTCTTTGGCCCATCCAATCGCTCGGAAGTGAGGGGGGGGGGACTTTCCGGGCTTCGAGACAAAGCAGCGATGCGGCCAGAGAAACATGGGGCAGGGGCCCTTGGCAACAGCGACGCCTGCAATCTTGTTTGTTTATATCTCCCCTAGAGCCGGGGCCAAAACGCTCCCGGTGGTTGCCCTTCAGCCCACCATTTGGATTTGGCCATGTTGAGGATTACCATCACTTTCAAACCATTTTTGAAGCCAGCTTAAGCAATAATTAGAAAGCTTTTAACCCACTTTGACACTATTTTTGAAAAAGCTCTCTGTTCCAGCACGTGCTTCTCGGCCACTGTTGAGCCAGGTAGAAGCTGCTGGTAATGACTTTTTGATCTGCGCTGAAACCGCTTTCAAACTTAGCACCGTAAACATGCCCCCTTTATGTTTGGTTTCTTAGGAGCTGGACCAGCGGGTCGCGGGGGTGCGAATCCTGGCCATGTGCCTGGAGGGCCACGTGGCGGTGCTGCAGAGTGTCCAGCCGCCGGCGCGGGGGTGGGGGGGGGAGTTCTTGGAGCGGGAGGAGGGGTGGAGCAGGAGGTTGAAAGGAGGTGGGGTTGGGGGGGGGATGTTGGAGGCGGTGGAGGTTGAGGGAGTTTGGTCTGAAGACAAGCCCCCCAAGCCCCCAACCCACTCCCACCCTCCCTCCCTCTCAACCCACTCCAAGCCTCCCCCTCAACCCCCTCCCAATCTTCCTGCCCCTCGTCCCTGCCCTACTTCCTTCATGAGTCAAACCAATAGCGACCCATCACGTGGTGCTGTTATATCAAACGGGAATTTTGCTGAAACAGATTCAAGATTGGTTGCAGGAAAGAAAAGAAAAGAGAAGAAAAGACAAGAACAAGAAAGGAAAATAAAAGAATCAAAAAGGAAAACAATAGAAAGAACGAAAGAATGAAAGGAAGGAAGGTTCACGCCGCCTCCTTTCTCAACCCCACCCCATCCCTCCCTCCCTCCCCCTCCCTCCCTCCCCCTTCCTCCCTTCCTCCCTTCCTTCCCTTCCTTCCCTTCCATCCCTTCCTCCCTGCTCCCTCCCTCCCTTCCTTCTCCCTCCCTGCCTTCCTTCCTTCCTTCGTCCCTCCCCCCCTCCTTCCTTCCTTCCCTTCCCTTCCCTTCCCTTCCCTTCCCTCCCCTCCCCTCCCCTCCCCTCCCCTCCCCTCCCCTCCCCTCCCCTCCCCTCCCCTCCCCTCCCCTCCCTCCCCTCCCCTCCCCTCCCCTCCCCTCCCCTCCCTTCCTTCCTTCCTTCCTTCCTTCCTTCCTTCCTTCCTTCCTTCCTTCCTTCCCCATCTTCCCACCCTTTCTCACCACCTCCCGCCCAAATATATAAGCCCTGCGTATCTTTGGTGAGCTTGGCGGGGCCCTGAATGCTGCTGCCTCTTGGTTACGACGGGTTTGCTTGTTTTGTCGTCTGCCCAGCTAATACATGGCAGTCGATGGAGGACGTGAAATGCTGTTGGGATTGCCTTGTGACACCGTTGCATGAAGTTGCAGAGGTGGTGGAGAGTTGTGGCTTGCTTGCTAGAAGCAGGTGCTGAAGGATGTGGTCGGACGCCCACTCCCAGCCTCCCTCCCCCTCTTCCCGACTCCCAAACTCTCTCCTCTTCAACCTGCCCCCGCTACTGTCCCAACCTCCCTCTCCCGCCAAATCTTCTCCCACTCCCTCCCCTCCCTCTCCCCCAACAACCTCCTGCCCTTCTCCGCCCAACATTTGCGTCCCCCATTGCCTCAGCCCCCTGCCATGTGAATCCTTTTGGTGTCCTTTGAAACTAACCTTCAAACCGGGTGCCTTCGAAAAACACTCATATCCAACCCACAAAATATATTCAAGCATTCCTTAGGTAAGCTCCGAGCCACGCAACCGCATTGCCGCATGCTTCTGGTAGGACCCTTCCCTGGGCCTGGGGCAGCTCGCGCCGGTGCTGCCACAACTCATCGAGGAGGCGCCCCGAGCGGGGCTTGGGCGGCTGTGGGGGAGTGGTCGGAAGGGAAACGCGGGTCTTGGAACCCGCCTCTCTCCATCGGCCGAAAAACCGGCGTGCTGGAGCGAGCCGCAAAGGCGTGGTCAACAAGGGCTATTTCAATCAAGTGCGCCTGGTCCTACCAAAAACGTAGCGAACCACTTGGTTCGGGGGGAGGCAGGGCGGGGGGGAGGGGTCCTTAGCCAGTCCTCCCCGTTTGCGGAGCTCAATACATGAGTTTGGCCAGGTTTGGACCCTGTGACCCGCTACGCGGAGAATGAGTCGGCCGGTCCGACCCGTGCGGGTTGTTTTTTGAGGTTTCCAGACTCGTCGGCACCCGCCGCGACGGTGCGGGCCGTGGGTCGTGGGACACAGGTGCACGCCTCCGACCTGCTGCTCTCCCCCACGCCGGAGAGCCGCGAGGCGTTGCGGCTTGGGCGGTGGCTGAGTAGAGTGGTACGGCAGAGGTGCTAAGAGAGGTGGCTAAGTGGTAAGTAGTGTGTAACCCACTTTAGTTTGGTCAAAGGGAGTCGTGCCCACTTCATTCCTGCCTGCAGAAGCCTGAAGAGCTGACTGGAGGTGTTTGAGCATGGCACTCGCGCGCCAGAGATTTGGCCCGGTTTGGTCCATGCAAATACCGGACTTTTGGCAGAAACCGATAGGGGACTACGCAAAGCCGGTTGTTTTGCCGGGGGTAGAAAAGCAGAGAATGCATTCTATCTAGTCCTTGTCTCCTAAGAAACGGGCAAGGGCCAAGGACTGAGAAATGAACGTGTTTGACCATTCCTTTCCGATCTCCGGGTCCCGGAGATTTTTGCACCGGTTTCTCGGGACGAGAGAATCCGAGGTTGGGCCATCAGCCTGAGGAAGGGACTGCCGTTCCCTATCCATCGAGGGTGAAGCCAGAACCGCCTTCCGATTTTTTGTTTGGCTTGGGTATCAAAAGAAATGGACTTGATGGAAACCTGGCAGCGTACCCGCATCTCAGTGTTTATGTGTATGGTGTGTGTTCAGCACGAAAAGTCTCAAAAGGATCTAGAGAAATACGGTGGCGATTGGCCATGATTCTTCGGTTTTTCGCTTGGTTTGGGCGGAGCAAAAAACATCCAGCTCTTGATTTCCAAGTGTCTCACAGAAATCTGGGCTCGTCGGTCCCAAGTTGGTGATTGGGGGAAGCATAGCTTTTGGTTTCGCTGGGGAACCCCCTTGGGTAACACACCACCACTCCCTGCTTTGAGCAGGATGAAAGCGGATGACACAAGTTTCCTCGTGTGGGTAAAGGGGATGACGACGAGTCACCAAAATGTGATCTCGCCAATTGTTTTCACCCCAATATAACATGGACCCCCCCGAAAAACTATATACTAAAACATATCGGATTTCTTTTGGGTCCTTCAAACCAGCCAAGAAACACCAAAACCCACATGGAGCCCAAAGTTAGTCAAACCAAGCCTGTGCCTACGCCATGCAGAAAAAGTTTCAGTAAGTCTCGGAGGCCATGTGGATGCTGCTCTTTTCCTTCCTCGAGCCCTTGGGGCAGCACCTGGGCCAGTTTTCGGGCAAGCTCCTCTTTGTGGCTCTGGCGCTGGCTTCCAAGGCAGGAGGAGGGGGTGGGGGTGGGGGGGTTCATGAAAGGAACATTCTACCGGGGGCCGTTTTTTTTTTGGGGGGGGGCTTGGCACCTTTTTCGGGGAGCGGGAGGGGGTTTTCAAGGGAAGGGACACCAATGGGCAACCACCATATTTTTTGGTCGGTGCCTGATTTTGGGGATCTTGTGTCTGCGTCTCTTCTCTGGGTTTCGGGCCGTTTTTGTGAATGGATCTCGGCTGGCCCTCGCTGGATTCTCTTTGAGAGGCCCAGGGCCACTTTAGAGGGGTTACGGTATTGGCGCCCAGGGTGTGAGGTGTGTATGGTCACAGAACACATGAGGCACATTGGCTTTTGTTCGAACTTGGGATTTAGAACCCGTAAAATCGACATGCTTCGATTTCTCTTTTTCTCCTCCAACCCCGAAAGCGGTACCTACCAGCCCCAAAAAGGAGCCACATCTCTGGATGCATGTTGTGCCGTCTGCCAGTGTTCAAGCCTTCGGCAACTATTTCTGACTTTGAGAAATCTATCTTTGCACTGTTGCCATGGCCGTGAAAGTGATCGCCGCTATCTTCCTGGGCCTCAATGGCTTCTCTTGCCATGCTGCCCGCACCGACATGCAGGCAGGATGCGTGAAGCGGCGCGTGCCATTTTGTTGGGGAGCTGGTGCCCTTTCTGGATTGCACGGGGAAAACCAGCTTGAAACTTGTCCCCAGGGGACCAGGGATGGGCGGAAGTTCGGGTTCAAATGGTGGATAGGGGCTTGGTTCTCAGTTGTGCCGCCACATCCTGGTTGGCCCCCTTTTCCCCTTTTGTTTGGTGGGTTCACTAGCAGCAGACAGGTGAGGCTTCTGGCACCACTTTTTCATATCTTGTTCATTTCAAAATTTACTGGCGCAATCTAAACATGCCGCTTTTTGAGTTGCGGTCCGACACGGTCCTACGCCCAGCCTGGGATCTTCCTGGAAATCATCAGTGAGCAATGAGCCCAGACCTCTAATCCCTTCCCCCTAACAATAAAACGCACCCGTCGACGTCCCAAATAAAAATGTCCAGACAAAAGAACAACACCTGGGGAAACAAGCTTTTCACTAGACGGCCCGCGGTTTTGCGAGTGAGCTGGGTGCCTTTGAACACCTGGCTTCGGGGCCCTAGTACGACTGGGGTTGGCACTGGGTGGGCATTAGGGTACTTTAGAATTGGCTCAGTATCAGTCACTCACTCCCTGAGTTCCTGGACTTTATACTTTTTCCATGACCATTCTGGTGAACAGTCAGTTTGGACTTTTTGTTGTCCCTCCACGCAGGAAGTCCACCCACCGCATGGAGGGTAATTCTCTTTCACCCAATTCTCTTTAGGGTAATTCTGGTGAACAATCAGTTTGTTGTCCCTCAATTCTCTTTCACCCACCGCATTCGCGGCCAGATGAAGGCGGAGCGGGAGGCAGAGCAGGCGGCGGAGCACGCGGCGGTGGAGGTGGAGGGCGGCGTCCCGGCAGTGATCACGCGCGCGCTGCGGCAGGCCAAGGGTGAGGTGAACAACCATGTCCAGGTCCTGCAGGAGGCGTGGCTGGGGGGTTGGGGGCAATCTTTTTTTTCTTCTTCTTTCTCCGCCGTAGGTTTATGATTTTTTTCTGATTTGAACCGCAAGTGCCTTTTCAGCCTGGCTAACTTGGCTGGCTCCCAGTCGTGGCGGGTAAGCGACATGCATTGGTTTTGGAGGTGGGGGGGGGGAATCTAAGAGGGTTTCCAATTTCCAATACCACAGAACACTGAGGTCTACAACCGCACGTTTCCCTGAGAAAAGGTTGGGGGTAGTGGCAACACTTTTGGAAAGCAGAAGGCTGGAGGGTGTTGGTCACCGGGCAACCGCGGAAGCTTCCGCTGATGGGATATTGCCATGGGGTTTGAGGGTGGCAGCGCAGCTTCTCGGTGGAAGGCTTGGGAGTGCAAGGTGTTGAGGCAGAGGTACTGTGGATGGACAAAATCCGATTCGCACCAGTTTGAAACCACCGGTTGAAACCATTGTTTGCTGGTACTTACAGGGGGGAATTGACACATTCTAGATGTTTTAAGGTAATGCGAAATGGATTTCGCAACCATCCACAGTATCAAGGATTAATTACCAGGGTTTGCAAGGGTTTTCTTTTTGGCTTTGCGGCAAGTTTCAGTGTGTTCTCCTTGTGGTTTTGCGTTAAACCCGCCCAAGCATGGGAACCACAGCTTCCCGGTCCCCCCCCCCTCGGTCGCTCGATTTTCCCGGGCTTTCCGTCCGTCCGGCTTCCTTTTCGCGGCAGGCGATGCGGGAGGCCGAGCAGGCGAAGGAGGCCTCCACGGTGGCGATCACCCACAAGGAGACCCTGGTGACCAAGGCGCGCGGGTGACGAGCGTCCAGCGAGATCGCGCCAAATTCGGTCGTCAGCGAGGGGAGAGCCGAAGTTGCCGGGCGGAAATTGGCGACTGCGTTTTTTTTTTTTCAATTGGGGTGGGCGGGGGTGGGGTGGCTTTGGGGGGGTGGGGGTGGGGGGTAAGGTCGGGAAAAGGGGGGGACATGCTGTGGGTGGACGAAATCCATGCCGATCGGCACCACTTGGGATAGATGAGACCCTATAAACAATGGTTGATTCACCACCTGGTTCAGGATTTTGATCCATAGCTGTGGTGTTCCCTTCCTTTGAGTGGGTACCCCCTTGTTCCCGCAAAACACGGGGGAATCCATGAATTCTCGCATGCTTGGTGCCGATTTCTGGGGTTCCAAAGGGAAGCCGGAGGGACACCACCCAAGTCTTGGAGGTTCCATATCCTATTTTGAGACAAAGCCAGACTTCCAACAGGAACCGATGGAACCTGAAGAAAATGGTCTCCGTTTGAATAAAGTCGTCCAAACCAAGCATGGTCTTCCAGAAGGAGTCCAGGAAGGGGTTTCAGGTACTTCCATCTTGGGCGTTTCTATCCGGGTTGGGGTGCGGAGCCCAGCTTTTGGAGCTGCCAGTGGAGTCAGTGGAGGTCGTTTTACAAGGGATTTGCCGATGGAAATCCATTCATCCACAGCGAGCGTGGATCCGAATCAGGCCGCAGAATCGTTTGGTTTTGCTCGCATTTGCACCGCGCTTCTGAGATGGCCATGGAAGTTTAGTGGGCAATGCTCCCGCCCCATCCCTCCCTCGGTGAGTGCCCCAACCTGGCCAATTCCATTGACCTGGAGGTATGAGGTGAAGGAAAGAAACGCTAAGCCCTTACCAGGGTTTGGAAGGGGTTGGGAAGGGGTGAGGGGGCTTTCCTTGGGGTTAGCAGGCAGATAATCCCTGTACAAGTCCTAGGAGGGGAGGCCTCTGGAGACGGTTCGCCTTCGAAAACAAAGACGGATTGGTCTAGCTCGTTCCATGGCACACCGCTTTGCAAAAGGAAACGGGGTTGGGGGGGGGAGGTAGAAAGAAATCAACCTCAACTTGGGTTTTCTTGTTAGCTGTGGGAACATATTGAGCGAAGTAGGACGGGTACGCAGCCAACCCCCAATCCCTTTTGCACTGATTCGCGTTTTCAACCTAAAATCAGGCTTTAGCCACTTGCCCCAACACAACAAACAAGGGGGTTCCCTTTAAAGAAACCTCACCTAACAAGACACATGCACACAACAAATTGCCCGGCCAACGCCTTTGGTGCCAGATCACCAAGAAGACCACGATCATCTCGCAGCACGCCGAGCGCACCCGCAATCTGATGATGGCGGCGGCTTCACCTGCAAGGGGTCGGTTGGGGCGTGTGTGGGCCGGTTAACACCAAGCAAAGCGCAAACATTTGTTTTCGCAGGTGGTCCTTGCGACCGAGGGCAAGCTAGTTGAATCAACCACCACCAATTCTGAAAACAAAGGACCCATTTGGCTATGAAATTTAAATAGGGAAACACCTCAAAAGCGGTTGGTGGACATGAATCCCCACCAAAATGGTCTCCACTAATGGTGCCCTCATTCAAATTCAGACCCATTTGGGGTTGGAAGGCGGGTAGTTGGCTTATTCTCATGAATGTTGGTCTTGCCCATGTGGAAGATCGCCCGACCCAGACTTTGGTGGTCGTGCTTGCTTCTTTTTCCAGTTTTCACCCAGACAAGTTTTTTTTTGTTGGACATTAATTTTATAATTTCCTCGAGTTCTTCACCTTTTCGATCTTTTGATTTTGACTTTTTGCATGGGGTCCTCAAGACCATCGCAAGGAGTATGGTTGAGAAGGTCACCCATCATTCCCGAAAATGTTCATTCATTGCTGATTAGAAGGGCGTCATCGGGCCATGCCCACGTGTGTTTTCCATAAGACCGACGCAGCCTTTGCTTGTTCACGGTCCTCTTTCCGAGTGCTTTAAGCAGCACTTTTTGGTTGCCAAAGTAAACAGCGAGCTTCCTTTGGTTGCGCGCTGCTCGTAGAGGAGGTATGTGCCATGGTCGAAAGACCCTGGTTGTGGGTTGCACATTTGGGCTCAACTATTTGGCCCCATTGCTGGGTCAACATTTGTCTTACATCTTGCATCTCTGCCCTTCACTAAAATGATGAAGAACATATATTCACTTCTAGGCTCAGGGTGGATTCCCCCCCCCCCCCCCCCCAAGTCAGCCGCCTTGCGCCTTCCCCTTCCGCCGCCTTCCGCCTTCCCCTTCCGCCTTCCCCTTCCGCCGCCTTCCGGTCGGGGCGGGCGGGCGGGCAAGCTGTCAGGTGGAGAAGGCGGCCACGCAAAAGGCGGCCCAGGCCTCGCAGCTGCAGTCCACCATGACCAACTGGGATGGGCTCAGCCCGGGGCCCCGGCAGCAGCCAGCGATCGATGCGATTGGGCGAGGCCCAGCAGGGAAGTCATTAGAGACATGAAACAGGGCCCTAAAAACAAATGGGGAAATGGGGGAATCAACCCACCCGGAAATCATTAGAGACCCAATAGGGCTCTAAATAAGTAGAAGGGGTAACTGCGTAAAACGGTTAAAGTTGTTGAGTTTGATCCTGATATTTCCGAGCAAGAAGCCAACCAACCTTTGCGCAACTGCAGAAAAGAGGCCAACGAAGCACTCCAATGCAATACTTGGCGCTTTCCGTATGCGAGTTCCTGCAGAAACCTCCCCGCACAGAACCCCTTCCCATGTCAGCGAAGACACACCATGCACAAACCAAACAAGCGAGCGGACCGCGCGACCGACCGACCGGTCTGACCAACCAGGTGTGTTTTCTGTCATTCGTGAACCGAGTGACCAACTGACTCACTGAGCAACCAGCTATCGGCTATCAGCTAGCTAACTCAAACACCTACTCACTTTGGCAGCCGTTTGGATCTAGGATGTTCAAGTTGTTTCGAATCAAACCATTTTTTTGACCCTGCATGTTTATTCTTCAACCTTGTGTTTATTCCATTGACTTCTTGGCTTTTAAGGGATTTTTTCCCCTCCAGAACTTGTTGCCTGGAAGCAAACAGTCAACCATGTAACCAACCGACCAACCGACCATCCAGCGGTTGTCTCCGACGGAAGGACCGAAGTGGCTTGTTTTCCCAGACCGGGTTCAATGCGTTTTTGGACATTCCCAAGTAAGCGAATAGAAGTTTTCCACTAGGTACAAGCATGTAAAACCAACCAACTACCCGCTTGCAAGATGGAACTTGAGAGGGGGGAGATTTGAAAACGATTTTCTTGTACGATTTTGCTTGTAAAAGGGACATTCGGGCAAGTCAAGAAGCGTAACCAGTTAATTGTTTATTTCAGCCCTTCAACCTGTATCCATTCAACCTGATAAATGACAATGTGGCTTCGACCTGTTTTCCAAAACCAGATTCTGCCTTTGGGAGCTCAACATATTTCATTTTTCTTCAACCGTTCGTCCTTCACCTCTGACTCGGGCACCGAACTTCAGGTTGTTCAAGGTGGCCCAACAGTCATGTCATTCTCTGCTAGTTGGTTTGGCAGAAAAGACCCTTGAACTTTTCATCATCGAAATAGGCCGACAGAAAGGCCGGGCCAAACGAGGGCAAGGGGTGGTGGGGACTTGATGTCTTTGGGGTAAACCACCCAGCACACATTTCTTCTCGACCCCTGATGTTCATAAACCCCACCTACTTATCATTCGACCGGGTCCCCTGATGAGTTTTTCTGCGGGGTTTGTGAATCAGGGGTCAACAAATGCGCTCGCCACTGGCCAAGCTCACTCTCGGGCGGCCAAACGTGCAGGCCACGATGTGGAGGGCCTGCGCAAGAACATCTCCGCCAAGGCGCGAATCGCTTGACCAAAGCCTTTTGTGCGTGGAGAGGTTCAGCTGAAAAGGCCTGGCTCTCCTTCGGTTTCCCTTTAAACCAACCTTTAAAAAGGGTAACTCCAACAACCGCCAATGTCAGTTCCGGAAATCAGTGGAGAGGAGCCCAGATGCATGGCTTCCCCACTGTAGGGCACTGGAGCCTGGTAGGTGGTCGCCCTTATTTTGTTTGCCGATCCCAGTACGTGAGACAATGGGCATCCCAGCCCACGTCAACCATCAGTTCCCGCAGCGTGTTGACAAAGGTATTTTGTGGTTCCCCAAAGCATTCCCCACAATGTCATCCCGGCACAGGCACAAGGGCGCTGGTTCTTGGTGGGGAATACACAAATCAACACGGGCTATTCCCGTAATCTCCAAGCAGTCGGGTGTGGGGGAGCCTTGGTGCATTTTGCCTCTTTTTGGTTTCTTGAGGAGCTTGGAGGTGGGTTTCCTCGTGCATTGCATGCCACGGATTTTGGCAAAGTATGTCCCCAAGGAAATTTGCAATGACCAGCCCTTGGGCAGAACTGTTTCTCAGCTTCGCATTGGAGGGGGTTTAAAGCCTGGATTGCTCTAAACGCTTCGGCCGAACCGGTTCGGCCCTTAGCATCCCCTGCATGTAAGGACCACGGGCTCTTGCTTTTCTTTTGCATGTGTTCCCCCCCACTTTTCGCACGGCCGTCGAGGCTCGAAGCGTCCAAAACCAGCCACGAGGCAGAGCGAGGCTCGAAGCATCGAGCGAAGCGCCGACTTGGCCAGGAGCAGGCTCTGACTCAGATCGTGAACACGCTGAAGAAGCAGATCGAGAAGATGAAGGACCAGCTGGATCGCAAGGCGTGCCGAATTGAATTCGGGTCTGCTTGTTTTTGAGGCTCGGCAGCTTTTTTCTTTTTGGGTTGGTACGGGAAGCCACCGGGAAACCAGTGTCGCGGGTTCCATTTTCGGCCTTGAGACAAACCCATTTAAAGGGGCCATCGACTCTGTAAGTTAGTTGTTGTTTAGTCACCGTGGATTTGAGTCCCCCAAAGTGGGCCCTAGTCATGATTGTGATTACTAGCCACCTCTATTCCTACCAAGGGTGCCCCTGAAAGGTCATTTCAGGTCACTTTTGGTCGAGATCCGTGGATTGCATGGTTCCCAGTGATTTTGCGCGTGCGGTCACCTGAGCCAGCAATACGAATCCCTGGTCGTTGGGACTTCAGGGACACCTCGGATCAGCGCAAAGTCCGGCAGTTGTTCATTGCCAGGATCAAGACTCCATTTTCGGCCTTCGCCCCTTGTGTTTCCTTGGTTTCCCATTTTCACCAGCAACAACGCTTGGCTTCTTGCAGGTGGTTGGATCCGTTTGGCCACGATACGTGTGTGTGTGTGTGTGACTGTGTGACTGTGTGACTGTGTGACTGTGTGACTGTGTGACTGTGTGACTGTGTGACTGTGTGACTGTGTGACTGTGTGACTGTGTGACTGTGTGACTGTGTGACTGTGTGACTGTGTGACTGTGTGACTGTGTCTGTGCGCGCTAAAATAGGGCGACAACCCAACAAAGTCGCCGTTTTCCTCTGGCGGCTTGCGGTTTTTCAGCCAAAAGTTGCCGTCTGGCCGGCCAGGTGACTGAGCGGGATGCGAAAGAGGCGGAGATGCAGGCTGCCGGGTGTCTTGATGAACTCACGACCCTAGGGTTCCTCGATCCTGAAGCGCCGACAAAAGGAGCTTGATTCAGCTCACAAAATAGGGTTTGGTATATTTGGGTGGGCATGGGGGACTCACTAGTTTTCCTACAATGACCCGAGTCATTTTCTCATGTCTTTTGGCAGCCACAAATGGGTGTTTGGTACCCGCTTTGGGGGTGTAAAGAAAAGCCGAATGACAAACGCATCCTTTTGTGCGAGTAGCTCAGTTTGCCTGGTTGCCTTTGTCTCGGGTGGGCTCAACGAAACATACTTGGGTTCCCTGTTTCTAGCAGGGTCACTGGGCACTATGTTAAGACACACGCACATACGATTAAGGGGTGTCTCTTTGCCATGGCGGAATCAAAGTCCAAACCTGGTGCGCCCGTTCTATGTTCTCAGAATCGGGGAGCCCAAAAAGGGTGGCACCCCTTGAATATCGGTAGGCCAACCCCTCAAAACGGCACCAAGGCCACCCAAAAAAGACGGTCCATTCGGGGTTTTCTCGCGTCTTGGCCCTTTCTTTAGATGGTCTTGACGAGACCTGCGGGAAACCACGCCATGTTAGGCTCGTCCCTTCTGCGAAGCGGCCCAGAGTTTTCCGCGCGCCGGGATTTTTTTCTCCGCCAGGAGCTCAAGGGCCAGGCCATGTCCAGCGCGGAGTTCCACAAGGGCGTGGAGCAGGCGCCGGATTTTTCGGCACGGGAAGGATGCCGAGCGGCGGTTTCGTTGTTCGCGCAGCCCGAGGGTAGGGACGCCAAAACGGACAGCCCCCATGCGGTACAGTTGCAAGGTGTCCTTTTTGGGTTAGTTTGGCTGGAAATAGATGGAAGTTCCACTGGTTTAGATTGGTTTTATGCCCCATTTGTCAGGGCTCTTTTTTCCAAGAGGTCACCTATGCTCTCTGCACAATCACAAGGGTACTGACTCCACAACGTCGACCCCATCAAGCACGGTTGCAAATCGACTGGATTACTTTTTTTGATTGTTTGATTCGTTGTGTATTTGGCCCAGGTAGGCGCTTTCAACCATATCCTTTTTTTTTTTTCTTCTCTCTCTCTCTCTATCTCTCTTTTTTTATGGTTTTTGAGAGCCCTCCTGATAGGATTGGCCTCAAGGGAAACCATCCAAACACTTGGGGCTCTCAGGGATGGTCCATGGATGGTCATGGACCCCTTGGTAGGGATTTCGACAAAGGTTCCTATGAAGGGAGCCATGGACTTGACCCACAGGAGTTTTTACCTTGGCACATACGGGAGTTCGAACCTTGAGTTGGCAGTCAAAGGGAAACCGAAACGACGCCAACCATCTCAGGAGAGCCCTATCATGAGAAACACCAATATGATCCGGGTCTGTCTTTTTGTGGGGAACGTTTCTTCTTCTTTTTTTCCCCCTTTTTTTGCCGGTTTTCAAGGAACACCGTCGTATCTTTTTTTTCTATCCACCCATCCATCCGTACGTACATGCATACATGCGACGTATATTTGTGCGGGGGGACACTTTGGGAGCTGAGGACCAGGCCGTCGCGGAGCAGGCCATGCAGGAGACCGGAAGGGGGGTTCTCCAGTGGATCCAATCCGACGTCAAGTGGCAGCAAGTCATTGGAGGCCTCGTGCCAATCAAGGCCTCAAAAAAATATGTTTGTTTTTCGGGGAGGGCGGTTGGGGCGGGGCCAGGGGATCCTGGTTTAGATTGCTCTGGACTTGGATTTGACTCTTGTATTTTGTAAACTCGAAGCCATGCAAACCTCCAAATCACTCCGACTAATGAAAGGGAAGCTGACGATTGACAGGAGGGTTGGGCACATAGGTGTCCTTTTTTGGTTTTGGTAGAACACGGAGGGCGATGCCTGGTTGATCTACCAGGGCAATCTATGTTCTACCAAAAGGATACCTATGGTCATTGGGACCCACCAGGCTGCTTTTGAAGAATCCAGTGAGCCATGTTTGTCCAAGAAACCAGTTCGTGGGAACCCAGTTGATTCATGAATCCGTGGTTATTGCGGAGATTCGGATCAGTCCCTCCAGCAGGAATTTAGCCCAACCCTCGATTTTGTTGGTGTTTGGGCTTGCATTTCTGGTGTTGAGCCAAACTGTTTAAGAAGGAGCCAAACTTCGCTAAAAGAGAAAACTGTCGATTGGTGATTCAAAAAGAGGAAGCATACTTCCATTTGCGTTTGAGGCGTTTTCTTCTTCCCCAGTCGGTTAGGGAAGGAGTCATGACTGGACATGTTTTGATGTTAACGGCACCTTCAGCAAATGGAATCACAGGTCGCATCCCAAATCTAACCCCGGCCCAACTCTGTGAAGGGAAACGAAGGCCATGTTGGGAGGTCTGCCAAAAAAAACACACCCACAAGGTGGTTGTTTTAAGAACAGCAGATGCCACATTTCAAGCAAGGCTTGCTTCGGGAGGTCAGAAAAGGCTTCGATCCCTTGGGTTAATTTGAATTGGGTTCCCTTCAAACTAGCTGAACGGGAGGGATCTTTCATTTTGCAAGTGACCACGTTGGAAGCCGCAAGATACTATGAAGACTATGGTGTGTAGTAGGTCTACTTGCATTGATCTGCAGAAGGAGAACCTGCTTTTCTGGTCGGGTTGCTTGCGATTCCACGGAAGATGGCGAGGGCCTGTTGCATGAACCTGGCATGGGCCTTCAGACATGTCAGACACCCTGTGTGGGTGTTGTGACGACCCGTAGGAATTGACTCAAACTCAGTTGCCCAAGATGATCGACCTTTTGACCTTATCGGTTGGTGACGTTGGCCGGTGTTTTGTTGAAGTTCCAAAAGGAAAGCTTTAACTTCCGGGTCCTTTGCGGACAAATCAGTAGAACAATCCGAGGACCTCCCGCTTCACTTCCACCTTGCCCTGCCGACAACGCCTCGCGAATTCCCCGATACTCCTCGAATTCGCCCTGCAAATGGGCGTATCTTGTTTAGGTAACCCCCCAAAATGGCGTCGGTTTTCCTTTTGCATTCCCCTTAAAATGCCGATGTTGCGGGCTGCTGTCTTAGCGTCTTTGGTATGCTGGCTTCGCGCTGCGCAAAAGCCACCCTTTGAAGCTCAAAAAGGGGGGTACCGAGCCGCCAAAAAAAACGGGGCCCCCCGAATTCCAGGACGACAAGCGGGCACTCTCAGAGCTGCAGAGCGAGCTGGACATCGCCAACACCGCGGCCACGCAGGCGGAGGCGGCGGAGGCGGCGGCCGATGACAAGGCGCGGCCTGCGCGCCCTGCGCGCCTGTCGCGGGTTTTTTTGGCAGGGACGGGGAGCGGCGGGGAAGCAGAGGAGTCGGGAGGGGGTGTAAAACTCTGGGGGGGCGGGAGGATTCCACAGCAAAGGCCCTGTTTTTGTCCCCAAGTTTTGCGGGAGGTTTTTGGTGCAAGGGCATAGTGAATGAGAACCAACCACTTTGCGGCTCAAGCATTCCCGACACGTTTCGGTGCTCTTGGCTTTGGCTGGCCGCGCAGGGACCCTTGTCTACCACCTTAATGGAATTGGGATTTTCCCTTTGGGCACTAAAAAATTGGGGGACCCCCCACCCCCGCTCCCCCTCCAGGGGGATCCTTGTTTACTCACGCCCAACAACTCTTGTCGGATCCAACAAAACCTTCGCACCTCCCAATGGGCCCGGCGTTTTTCTTTCTTCTCCCGAAACGGGGAGTTGGGGTGTAGGGCCCAAACCCCCAGTGTAAAGATTGTTGACCACCCATGGTCTAAACGATCTCCGTTTGGTTCCCCTAAGGTGGGGGGGGGGGGCGTTTCATTTTTCAGCACATGCCCAAGCCTTGAACGAACAGGTCCCTCGGGAGTTGGGAACCTCAAGTGGTGGACCAAAGGACTACATGATGGTGGGGAATCTTGGAACCACCAACCACTTTGGAGGCGGTTCCCCAATGCGTACCCGTTCTGGAGGCTATGTGGCAACCGTAGTTTTTCATCGTTTTTTCGAAGGAAGCCACAACTTGGTGCTCAGCAGGGAATGTGGGAATGAACCCAGGGATTCCCTTAAAGGACACCACCAGTTGGATGGTTTATAAGGGTTGCTTTTTCTTCAAGTTTGTCCAGACACTCTACCCTGGGGTTCAAACCGCCACTACAACAATGGTTGGGTTCATATCACCACCCATTACTTACCTAAGCATGGTCATCTAAATTGGGTCCTTGTCTTTGTCTTGAATGGGGGCAAGGAAGCTCCGGGCCGATCTCACCCCGAGCCCCGAGGTCCGGGAGGCCAGGACCAACCACGACTTCGGGGCGTGTCTTGGCTGGAAGCCGAGTCCGAGCGAACGGGGAGACGGGGGGACGGGCTGGAGGGAACGGGAAGCCTTTGGTCGAAAGGGGATTTGCCAGGACGTGTCGAATCTCACAACTCGTTTAGGCATTGAGGGAATCCTTCGGACTCTCGCTTTTCACACGGAGTATGCCTGGCCCCAAGATTCCGGCTTATGTCTCACCTTCTGTCACTTGAAGTGATTCATAGACCTACCTTTTTCCAACATTCCGGCACCTTAAGTAGAACAAGAGTCAAACTAGGGATTGCGGGGCCCTATGTAAACCTCAGCAAGCATGAGTCAACGGAGGATCGCTTTCTCCGGAGTGCCCCCTCGCCTTCTTCTGGTTGGACCCTTGTAGATGGCCTCAGGGAAATCTAAAGTCGTGAAGCCTAGAAGCCAAGGAAACGGCCTTAAGGGGTAAGTAAGGGATAGCCCCCTTCCCAAAGCGTCCCTTAGGGGTCCATAAAGGAAGCCAATTTGGCAGGGATGCCTTTTTGGCTTCGGACTGATTTCTTCTGTCTTGGTTTCGTTATGCACTCAATTGAAAGGAAGCAATCCGGTAGGGGTCCCATAGGTAAAGTTCCACAGGGGCGTGAGTGCTGGGGCAAAGACTCGAACCCTGGGGGATGTCACTAGAATCAGCGCAACTCCACACTGGTTGGTTTGCTTATTGAGCGCCAGAGCTGAAGGATGCTCTTGCGAGCCTGCTTTTCCGTCGCAAGTGAACCACCAAAACCTGGGTAGATGATGGCTGGTCCCGCCCATGAAAAGGGGCGGCAAGATGCCCTGTTGATTCTTTGCATGGTTTCGAGCTGGCTACCCTGACCCTGCTTGAAGGGGCGTGCTATTTAATGCCTGGTTGCTGGCCATGAGCCTTGCAACCCATGGTAGAGAGTCACCAACCAGATGCCAAGTACCCTGCCCTCAAGTGTGTCTTTCCTGCGCACCCCCCCCCCTTCAAAGTGGAATTGGGGGAGGGGTCCAAAAAACATTTTTCTGGTTCCATTTTGCGTTGGACGTCCATTTTCGATCTGCACGGATGTGGGGATCGCCCGATCGAGGTCCACGGCCAATCTGTTGCAGAAAATCGTTGACGCAGTGAACAGCTTCTACGCGGCCGGGGATGCCCTTGAGGAGGCGGTGGACCACCCGGAGGGCTACAAGACCATCGCCACCACCCCAGAACTGCACCTTGCAACCGGAGTTGTTGGTGTCAGGTTTCCTTTTATTCGACTTGTTTGGGGTTAATAAGTTATATACAAAATAGATACAAATACACTGTTGTCTGCCTTTGTTGGGAACACAACAGGAGAAAGGGGTAGCCCTATTTTGAGACTCCCGCCCGCCCCATATTTATGCTTTCACCTACTATGCTTGTGGTGGCTTATGGGTGATTTAATGTATATGGCTGTGGGTCAAAACCAATGGTACCATTTTGGTTGGTAGGTGAATTCACCACCCCTTTTAGGACCTATTTTGGGGATTGGGATGTTTACTGGGGGTACGATTTGGCTTTTGACCCATGGCCATATGAGACTTCGAGGATACCTTTGGCTCGTGAATCTGCAGCTACGGAGGATCTCTCAAGGGCATCTCAAGGGTCTGAGCTCCCAGTGTACCAAGGAGGGAGACGTAGGATGGGTTTGGGTTGGTGGGTTGCTTGCTTGCTGGGGCGGAAGGTTCCAAAAGGGTTGGGCGAAGAGAAGGGTTTGGGGGAAGTGGAATGACTGGGGCAGACCAGTTCAGGCTGAGAATATTTACCCTAGAAGTTGACATGGAACCCGAAAAGAGGTCCCCCAAAAGGAGACTTTTCTAAAACATGTGGTTTTTTGGGGGTTCCATGTTAAACTGTAGGGAGTATTCACTTTTTGCGGGGAGTTGCAGAGCCTTACTCTGAGAGGTTCTACTCAAATCCGGGGTCAACATTGGCTCTGCCAACAGAGCCTGTTCGGCGCGTATGCTTGAAGAGGTCAGCCAGTCACACGACACGAGTATGAAGGGGAAATTCAATGTGAGGGTAGTGGCCTCCTCTTACACCAAGAAATGAGCAGGTGGAGGAGGGCTCTCTTTCCTTCCTTGCTGGTGCGATAGGTAGGGAATGTGGGAATGAACCCAGGGGTCCTCTTGAAGGAAACCACCAGTTGGATGGTTTATAAGGGTTCATTCTCTCATTCCCCGCTGAGCACCAGCAAGCTTGTGGGCTGGTTGAGAAATTGGTGTGGTGTCGACCCCTGCACAATTTAGGGAGCAAGGGAAGGAGCGGGTTTTTCCACACTTAAGTTGCCTGTAGTAGACCCCCCCCCCCTCCCCAAAATGGTCCCGGGAGGAAGTGTCGTCACAGGCCGGGGAACCCCGGCCTTGAGCATGGAAGGCCTGTGGCAGTTTTTGGCTACCGGGTTTGGAGGTCAAATGTGGCATGGTTGAAACACCCATTCTTGTTGGGCTTGCTAGGGGCTGTGGATCCCGGGAATTTAGACTGACGCGGATCCTTAGAAAAACAACATGGATCAAAAGCAGATTCGGTTGGCCAATGGCATGGTTGACTTGTTTGCGAGGTGTTGATGCTAACAGCATGGTGACTTCACCTTGCCCTTAAATCGGTAGGTTTGGAGGCTGGGGGGTACCTTCCAATTAGGTTTCAGGAAGCGGCTCGGATTGGTTTCCTCCTCTTAGGGTTGCAAGTGAGACGTCAGCTTTGTCTCAGCACGCTCGGTTTTTCTCGGGGCGTCTCATGGCAACTTCAGGTCGGCTTTCAGACACTGCCCAAAGGGCTGAGAGTACCACTAAGCAGGGTTTGCCAAGAGCTTAAAGACTGCAACCCGATGGGCACATGGGCGAGATAGGACTTGAGAAGACAGTCCAGTCGGGAGTGAGTTCCTGGACTGTACTGCACACTTTCCAGGAAGACAGTTTTAGTATGTCAATAAGGTAGATTTCCATTTAGTTTCCCTTCAAACACCACCTCAAAAGCAAGGCACCAACTCAAAGAAGAGACACCCACTTAGACTTGTTTTGGCTTCAATCCAGTGGGGACGGGATTTCTTTTTCTCTTATCTTTTTCTTTGGTTTTCCGGCTCGCGGACGGCTTTCTGTTTGTTTGGTTCAGGAAGGATCTCTTCACCAAGTACAACCTCATGGTCTCGGCCTTCAGCGCGCTCCACGCCTTCGACGCAGCATGGCGAAAAATCGGGGGGGGGGGGGGAGAAATGGCTTGAGCTGGCCGCTCGCTCAAAAGATAGGGTAATGTACCCATGGCGCCTTGGGTCCATGGAACCAAGGACCGTGCACCTGCGTAAGCCTAGCTCTTTGGAGCACCCAGTTTCTGGAAAGCTTCGAGTCCTCAACTCCCCGTCCCGAAGTCTTTCGAGGAACTCGCGGAGTGGCCGGTTTCCAGCTCCGGAATTGTTGGTGGCCCGTGGCGCAAGGCCCTTGCACCTGATTGGAAGAGGGTTTGCCAGTTGGTTTGCTTGTTTGCTTGAATTGGAGGAGGTCCCCGCATTTTTCCCGCTCCAAAGGGTTTCTTCGCTTGGAAGGGGGCAGATCCTGTGTGGACATGTGAATTGGTCACCTACAAGATCAACACCATCGATATTTGTTTTCCCCTTGTAATTTGGGCCCAAACCCAACCTGTGGTTGCATCGTCTTTTTTGTCTTTTGGTCATTTGATTTGGGCACCAAGATTATCAACACCTAGAATCTTCTCCGTTGGTTTACCCAAATTATCACCTGGAATGATTTTCCAAGTTGGTGTACCCAACCCTCGGCCTTGGTCTTGTCAGGTAACTCCTTGCTGGTTTGGCTTGGGGCATCGACCCCTAGAGGCTAGATGGGTCTCATTCCGGAACACCCCCCGGAACACCATCGATTCGGCTCCGCCTGCTTGGCTCAGAGAGGTGGGCACCTACCAGCTGATCCACCGCGCCATCGCGCAGATCGAGGAGAACTCCATGGCGGCGTTGCACTTGGCCTGCGACTCCACCAGCACCCTGGAGCCCGAGGAGCTCGAAGCCAAGCGCCTGGAGCGAAGGGAGCGGAGGGGAGCGCGGGTCGGCGGGTCGGTGATTCTGGGAGGGTACACCCATTGGTGTGTGCGTGTGTGTGGTTTTTCTGGGAGGCTGCGCATTTTGTGTTTTGGTTTTTCAAGGGCAACCATGAAGAAGACCTGCCATTTTGGGGGTCCCCTAAAAAGCACTTCCGCATGAGGGTTGGTTTGAAGGAAGGATGAAGACAGAAAAAACCCGCCCTGCCCCAGCTGGGGTTTGCAAAACACAATGACCCCTCTGAAGCCTTACCCCCCCCCCCCCAAGAAAAAGAAAGAAACAAAACAAAAATCAAACAAACAAAAGCAAAAAAACAAAAACAAAAAACAAACACAAAACAAAAAACAATCAAAAGAGACACAATTGTGGAACGTAGGGATTGGAACGAATATGCCAGCACAATCAATTGGCCACACTAAAGGCGATGAATGATGTAGTGAGGGTTTTCACTTTTTGGACCTCTGAAATGACACTGAAACGGTCATTCTGCTCTTGCCATGTTTGAACATTCCCCAAGAAGGATGTTCAGCAGATAGGGCTCAAACCTTGGCGACCAACGAGTGGAGCCCCTTTGTGGATGAGGACTGAAAGGAAAGCACTTTTTTTTCCTTCTTGTGGTTGCCGGTTGGACAGCCCTAGCCCTGGATGCTGGGCAAGTTAAGGCCTCACAAAGCAGATTTGGGCTTGTCTGAAAATTAGGGGAGCCCCCAAATTGTGGTTTCCTTTCGGTTTCCGTTTAAAGTACCCTTTCAAAAGTCAGACGTTTGCAACCTCACTCATGAAGATTCCTTACCTGGGAACTCCTTGATTGCAGGTTATTGAATTAGTACACCGCGACGCACGGCACCTTTTTGCTCAGAGATCTGAATTTTCGAAGCTCGTTTTTGTTGTCCCTGTTTTCCAGGGTGATAATTATTGTAGAATGAATTTGGATTTCATATTCATAAACAAAGAATAACATAACTTGACACACATTAAGACTCAATACGTGGACAACTGTGGATTTTCAGGGTTCCATCTTGGAGTCGGAATTCAGGTGCGGCGACAACCTCTGGACCGCTGTGGAGCTCACGCAGCTCCACTTCCCCGAGGGCAGCTAAGAGCGAGACATTTTCAGTGAAGCAACGCCACGGCCGGGGCGGCTTCCCGTTTCCGAGACTTGCTCGGAGCGGCTGAAGCAGCGGCTTCGGAACCCCAGAGCCCCGAGCCGTGAGACGAAAACAGCCGCGCTTGGGCCGTGATGCATTTGTCACTCGGGTGAGGTGCAAGGGCACGGAGTCGGCTCGAAACTTTCGGGCTCTATGGTCAAAGGGGTTCGGGACTAATTCTCCCCACAAGACCGAAGTGGAGTCACTCATTTTTCTATGCCCATTACGGAAACTGCATATTTGTTTTCTGGCTCACTTTTCTCCTTGTTCACATGCAGTTTGCGCTCGTCTGATGTTGACTTTGAGAGGACATGGGGGGCCCTGGCGGGGGGCGGGGGGCTGGGAATCTCATTTTATTATTTTTCAGTGCCAAAGAGCAGCGGGGTACTTTCTCACCCGAAATGCTTGGCTCCTTTTCGGAGGAAATTCGTCTTCCAGGACCTCCCCGGTACGGTTCCAGGTCCGTCGCTTCAATCTCTGGAAGCCTTTCCTGAGGGTTCCAGGCGTATTTGGGAGGCAGGAGAACCCGCCGCGGTTCCGCCCCTCACTTTGGAGGTCGTATCTGAAATAGATAGCCGGTCCCAAGCACTGAAACAATCGTGTGTGGAGGCTGCCACTCTTGGCAGGCTGGTGGAAATGTGAGTCACTGAGAGTAGTATTGCCCAACTTTTGCTCGGGGTTCCGTTGAAAATTGGGTGGCACCCAATTTTGTCAGGTCCTTAAGAGAACGACCAAACAGTTTTCAGGCCATTGCTTGAAGAAGGGACTGCCGGTTGCGGGGCAAAGCAGACACCAAGACACCAGGCGGGAGAGGCCGTCCGGAAGCCAGGGGTTTCCAAGACCGGATGGGTCAAAAGACCGGCCCATGGCGGGTGGGCTCCGTCGGTGCCTTTCTTTTTGGAATTGGTCCAATTCCCCCCCCACAAATATATGATATACATATTATAAACTTTCATACAAATAAAAGTAACAGGAAATTTAAACATGTGAAATAAGAAATGGCGGTTTTCCTTTTTGGTTTCCCGAAAAAAAGAACCACCAAGCAAGGGGTGCCACCTTTCAAAAAAGACAAACCATAGTTGTAACTATTCCACCTGCCTTTGGAAACTCCTCTGTGAATGAAGGGATTGTTGGGTGTAGTTATCTTTTGGGGAACCCTAGTCTTAGGCTCCCAGGTCAAGACTCCCACCGAAATCCTGCGCAGGCGGAGTCGCCTTCCTCAGATGCGAAGAAGGGTCCTCCTCCCGAGCAGCTGAAAGCTGCAATTCAGAACCGGGGTCGTTTACCGTTTCTGCGGGTTAGTTGGCTGGATTTTGGAGGCGAGCAAATTGAGCAGGGGCTATTTTGGCATTGTGACCTGCTGCGTGGGGGTAGAACCAACGCTTAGTAAGGGCTGTTCATCCGGCTGCTCGTATGAGATTGAGCCGACCTTACACATAGCCTCGGTCGAGAAAAGCAACCTGAGCCAGGAAGGTTCATTCGGGTTGGCACTTTTTGGAGTCGGTACCCTTACCAGGTTTGAAGGGGGGCTGCGGGTGACTGGGGGCCTGTGTAGTTGCCAAACTTAAGCCTTTCTGGCGGTTTTCTTCGCCATAGTCAAGTGTGAGCAAGTTTGAACATTTTCTGCAGTTTCAAGTGTGTAGCGTCTACAAGCCGTGACACAGGTCTACGTCTTAATGGGGTCGAGGTGAGCCAGTTCCCGGCTGGGTTTCTGAAAGGATTTGCACTACAGCTATACCCCTGCAAACTACAAGAACGTTCATGTGCCAACCATCGTCCTTCTTCAATATACCCTCTTCAAAACCACCAAAAAAGGTGGGTACCGAGCCTCCAAAACCGTACAAAGCACCCTAAAGGCGCTTGGTGCCTCGCTCGAAAAAAGACAAGTAAACAAATCCGAGGCCGAAGGATGAGGAGGAGGCTTGTGATGGTTGCGATGCAGCTCAGTTTTTTTTTTTTTTTCAGGGGAAAGACTTAAAGATCTCGATCGCCAATCTGGAAAAACGCTTCTTGATTCGGAGATGTGTAAGCCCAGGGAGTGACCCAATAGCCCCTTGAGTCAGGGGAGCTCATCTTGCCGGTCAGCAGGGCAACTGGTGGTTTCCCCTAAAACGGCCCCTGATTTCATTCCCACACTCCCTGCCTATCGCAAGTCGTTTGGAGGAGCTGGTGGACCTCCCGCAGCTGCAGCGCGCCCTGCGGGCCTTGGGCTCCGGCTCGCAGGCCGCGATCCGGCGTTGGTCTATGGGGGCAGTCAGCCGGGCTTGTTGGGAGCCCAGTGAAACCACGGGTTGACTCAACAAGTCACGAATCAAAGCAAGGCGATGGTCTATGGAATGTGTTTTTGCTGGGGGGTACGTAAGGTACACCATAGGACCATATTTGCATTTTTGGGCCCTATTCTGACACATGCCCATAACCTCTTATCATTTTCTTGTAAAAAATCAGGAGTTCGTCCCCGCTTCTGTACCATGGGTTTGCCTCTGTCTCGTGGTTTCGCAAAAGTGGGCTAATTCCGGTGCGTGCCTTTGTGGGTGGTTGATTTGTGCTTATTATTGCTCAGGCAGAGTGGTCATGAAGTTCTCTGGAAGCGATTAAGCGATTAGGGTAGGCGACCAAGCGATCAAGCGATTAGCATAAGCGATCAAGCGATAAAGCGATTAGGAGCAGCGATCACGCGATCAAGCAATTAGGAGCAGCGATCACGTGATTAAGCGATTAGGAGCCGCGATCACGTGATTAAGCGATTAGGAGCAGCGATCACGTGATTAAGCGATTAGGAGCGATCACGTGATTAAGCGATTAGGAGCAGCGATCAAGCGAGAGAGCAGTTAGGATCAGCGACCAAATAAGCGACTCGGCGATTAGGATAAGCGCCCGCCAACGATTGGAGAATGCACTTCGTCCAGCGGCGTGGCAGCTTACTGGTTTCGAGAACATCGTGAGTTCAATTTGGCTGATGCCTTAAAACCCTTGTCTCAGGCGCGCAAGCAGAACAATACAGCCGCGCGAACCAGCGACGACCCCAGCATTGCCGCCATCACGACCCCAACATCACCTTATGGTGTGCGTTGCTGGTAATGCTGCAGGTGTTGTTGGGGCTACTGACCTTAAAAACGCTGGGGTGTTGGTGATGTTGGGGCCGTGACTGGCAATGCTGGGGGGGTTGCTGCTGATCTTAAAACGCTTAGAACAGTCGGGACACGTTCGTCCCAGCTACAGTTTTTCCCACGCGACATTGTTGGTCATGCTGGGGGTGTTGTTGGTGATGCTGGGCCTTACACCTCAGTGTCTCTTTGTCTCTGGAGCCAGGCAAAGGCAGAGGACACCCAACATTTTTGGGTGTTATTTTTTTAGGCGCTCACCAAAACAGGGAGCGGCTTCCTTTGGTTTGAATTTCACGCGACCCCACAAAGGGGGTACCTTAAAAAAGCAACTCATGTCAGACCTCTACGCAAAGAGTGATGGTGGAATCAAATGGGGAGTCAGCCGCTAGCAGCGTGACGGTGTTTTTGTGAGGTAGGCAACGTCTCAATCCTAAAGCAGGCGATTGCGTCAAGCGAGGAAGCGATTAAGCTATTAGAGAAAGCGGCTTAGTCTAGCGGCGTGGTAGCTTCATAGCTTCTCGAAATAGCGTAACAGCTTCAACTCGCCGAGAATCGTGAGGCTTAATAGCTTCGCCTAACTGTGTAGCAGCTTACTAGCTTCTTCTACCAGCGTAGCGGCTTTTTGTCGAAAGCGCGACTGTTTATCGGAAGTCAATATAAACATATATATGTGTGTTTTCTTGGGAAGGGGTTGAGGTTGCCGCTTTCTGCAGTGGCTGGCGTTTTTCTGGGGAGCACCGCTGTGATGCAAAATGCCGAACTCTAAAGTCGACGATCGAGGCGCAGAGCTTGGATTCTTTGGACGAGGACGAGGACGAGGCCTGCGCAAATTCTGGCGAGCTCACCATTTTGGGGCCGAGGTACTTTACTTGGGCTTCCTTGTTTCCAGTTTGCTATTTCTATGCCCAGATCCTCAAATCCAAGCAAAAAGAGACATACTCATATGTAGCTTACCTGCAGCCAGCGGAGCCCCCTTCTCTTCTTTTGGGGGAGGGGGGGTTTACAGACCCAGGTGCTGTGGGGCAACCGCCGACTTGATTCAATCGAAGATTCTCACGTCCCAGACTGTCTACTTGGTATGGATCGACTGGATTTGACTTTTGTTTGGTCTCCAAAGGGAAATCACCAAGGCTTTCAAAGCCTATTTTGATACAATTGTTGTGTTTCCTTTCGGGTTCCCCTTAGAACCGTACCAAAATGGCGCTTCGCATTCCGAGCTGTGGGTGCCCCTTCGCGGATATTTTTGAAGCTGTGGGTGGACAGTCGCGGGGTCGGAAAGGCGTGTTTCCGGGAGGTGGTGAACTCCCTTCGAAGCTCTGGTGAGTGTCGGTTTTCAAGACCTGAGGCCATGGTTTTTGACAAAGCGATAGGGTGAAGCTGATTGGAAAAGCAACAACACGCCCAAGCGCCCAAAATCCGCAGGGGGGGGTCGGGGCGAGCGAGGCCCGTGGGGCAGACGTGACCGGTGACCCTGGGGGGAAGGAAGAGACGGCAAGACGGCGAGACGGGGGGGGGGGTTTGAAGGGAAGCCCCCAAAGAACGCTCAAGAAAGAGAGGGTGGACCTACTTCTGGGCTTGGGAAACCTGAAAGTTGTTTCAGGGGTCCCGAAGTTGGCATTGATCCCTCATCTCGATTTCCTCCACCCTCTCCCCCCAAACCCCGCGCGCCGCGAGCGAGGCGCCGGAGGCGCGGCTCTTTCGGGAGGCCTTCTTGGAGGTGGCCGGAGCCGCGGAGTCCTTCCAGGCGCGGGGGCTCGCCGTTTTCGGGCGATCAGGTCCATGGGGGCCGTGACTGGAGATTTTGGGGAGGCCTGCGAAGGGAGAAATGAGACCTGGCGCGTGAAGCTTCTGTCGGCAAGTTGTTTTGCTCCGTTCGTTTGTGGAAACGGGGCCGCAGAACAACAAGGTCTTTGGCTACCACACCAAGGGTCGGGAAGCAAGCCTGCGAAACCGGGTGCAAGCCGCGGAGCTGAGGTCTTCCGCAGCGTGGTGCGGCTCACCCCCACCGCGGTTCTCATGCAGGCTGTGACCGGGGCGGTAGCCCGGGGCTCCCCCTCGCAAAAGGCGGCAAGCGCGTGCCCCGAGCTTTTCCTATTGAAGAGGTAAGCTTCGCCCTGAAAAGGCGGGTTTCTGGAGACATCGCCTTTGGGTTGTGGTCAGCTTGAAGGGTTCTGCCTTCTGGTGGTTGGGCTGTTTAAGCGCCATCGGGGCAGATCTTGTGCTGACATGTGAGGGATCCCGAAAAGGCTTCGCCTCAAGGACATGAATTCGGGTGGAATAGGGGCTAAAAGTCTGTAAAACGAAGGCGACCCCCTTAGGCACGACGCCTGCGACAAGGTGAACAGCCCTGTAAAACGAAGGCGACAATTGAAAACAAAGCCTCCCGAGATATTCCAATTGTGCACCTTTCAGTTTTGGAGATAGCTCACGTTGCGTTTCTTTCGGCCAGCTAGTAATGTTTTGTGTAGTTTGTAGTTGGTTTAGAAGGTGCTGTATCCGTTTCTTCTTGTGAAGTCGACAGATGGGTGCGCCGTAAGGGCCCCTGTCAGCCCAGTTAATCGCCTAAAAGCCAAGTGACATCACGGTCTTGGCTTAGCTTGTCACCTTGCCAAAACGGCGGGCCTTTTGTTGGAGAGGGTACTTTCCGGGTTTGTTGCAAGAGCAAGAGGGTCTAAAGGGAAGTTAACCATTGCTTTGGGGCTAGAGGCAAATCCCATGTTTTTCAGATGGTAGACGGCAGCTTGCGTATCAGGAGCAGAGCTCACTTCTTCTTCTTCTTCTTGGCAACCAGGTGTTCCAAGTGGGGCTCACGTTTTTCAGGGACAGCACTCGGTTTCAAAGATCACCTTGCAGACACTCGTCTTGTTGTGGATGCGACTGGCATTTTGTTGGTTTGAAGACACAATTCCAACCACAAAGTCGCAACGAGAATCCCAATCCGGCCCAGTGCGAGTGTGAGTGACGTTGGGGCCAATCCGGCCCAGTGCGAGTGTGAGTGACCCTTGGGGCCTTGTTTCAGGGGGCGGGCCTCCCCAGCTCGGGTGGCATCTGCTTCAGCTCGGCCGTTCCGCCAAACGGTGGTCGCCACTGTTTGAATTCTGGTCGAGGACAGTCCCGCCCCTCAACTGGACAACCATAGGACAGTTGGGTAGGAACCCTCCCAACCAAAAAGCATGTTGTTGCTCCTGCCCAGCCCTTTGCTGCTGGCTCAAATTGTTTGAGTCATATTCCCCCTTATTGTTCTTCTTGTATGGTCCAGCCCCCCTCACATACCCCGAGCTCGCCTTTCCTTTCTCAGGCCCCGAATCCAAGGAATTCGGATTCCAGGCGGAGCACCGGGCCGTGGTCCTGGAGCGGCTGCGGGACTTCGCAGGCGACTTGGATTTCCTTTTGGGCAGGGTGTCGTGTTTCTGTTTGTCCTGTTTCTGCCTGGGGCTGGTCGCAACATGGGATATGGAGCCCTCAAAATGGTGGGTTTCCTGCTTTTAAGTAAGGAGCCGTTGATTCTGAGCATGGATGGGTTTTTCCTTTGTTTTGGGATGACCTCGCTGTCTTTTAGCTACTCTCCCACCGACGTTGCCATCGAACCTGAAAAATCACTTCCTTGGTGTGGTTGGCCATTTTCCTGGTGCCAAAGACTGAAACCAGGGAACTCTTCGCCAACGGGTCCGTCCTCACAACAAGAACTCCCAAGCCCTTGGTTCCAGCCCTGTTCTCTTAGCGCTTTTTCTCGGATCCCTCAGCTGTGCCTTCAGGATGACTACGATGCTTAAAGACCCGCACCAGTTGCAGGGCATGTTGTCTTCAGATGAAGATGGTTGCAAAGATTGCCTTTTCCAAGCCAAACGGAAACCGCAACTTTGGGGGTAATGCTCAGGATGATATACATGAGCCCTATGAATCCCCTGATCTTTTTGGGGATCCGCGGTTTACCAGTTTCCACTGGTTGAACCCCTGAACAACTGAGAAGCTCCTAAAGCCCAGGCTTCGGTGGGTTTAGGGTGCTTAGGGTGTGCTTAGGGTGTTTAGGGTGTTTAGGGGTGTGTTTAGGGTGGGTTTAGGGGGTAGCTTTAGCGTGGGTGAAGGGCGTGTTTAGGATGGGTGTGGGTTCAGGGCAAGCTTCGAGCGCAAAGCTGCGAGCGCCGCGCACGAGGCACCGCCGCGGCGCCGGAGAGCCGCAGAAGCGCGCAGGCGCTGGGGGCCTCCTTGGCGCTGCGGGAGCCCGGCTGTGCCTTCGAGGCCGGAGAGGACATTGATGCTTGAGGATGCTTGAGGATGCTTGAGGATGCTTGAGGATGATGAGGATAGTGATGACGATGACGATGACGATGACGATGATGATGATGATGGTGATGATGATGATGATGATGATGAGGATGAGGATCATGATGAGGATGATCATTAGATGATGAGCATCATCATCATCATCATCATCATCATCATCATCATCATCATCAGCATCATCATCATCATCATCATCATCATCATCATCATCAGCATCATCATCATCATCAGCATCATCATCATCAGCATCATCATCAACATCATCATCATCATCATCATCAGCATCATCATCATCATCAGCATCATCATCATCAGCATCATCATCATCATCATCATCATCATCATCATGATGATAACTATCATCATAGCATCCATCCCAACGCTCGAAAAAGATCGAGCACCCCGAGGGACACCTTGCTAAGCAGCTGCGGTCGGGCACTGTGAGCGGATTCCCTCGCAAGCGTCACAACTAAACACAGGAGCCCGGAAAGAGGCATCGTTTTCTTTGAAAGTCACCAAGTTTTCGCAAAAAATCACGAAAACCGCCAGCCTCCGTTAATGGGATCCCCCAAAACGCCATGCCGAAAGACTCGTAGGTCTTCGAGCTGCTGGCGGCTGCCCTAGCCGCTGTCCCCGCCTCTCTGGGCGCTGGCGCCGCGGACGCGCCGCTGAGCGCGGCGGGGCTGGGGCAGTGGCGCCGCGTGGCGCTGGCGGACAGCGCGGCGGCGTGGAACGCGGCGCTCTCCGGAGAGTCGAAGGCGGGGAGCACGGGAGCAGGGGAGGAGGGGAGCCGGGGAGGAGGGGAGGAGGGGAGGAGGGGAGGAGGGGAGGGGAGGAGGAGGAGGAGGAGGAGGGGAGGAGGGGAGGAGGGGAGGAGGGGAGGAGGGGAGGAGGGGAGGAGGGGAGGGGGGAAGGGGGGGAGGGGGGGAGGGGAGCTCCAGTTTTTGTTGTCCGTTTCCCTTTTTGGAACCTCCAAAAGTGGCAGTTGTTTGCGGAAACCAGTAGATTGCAACTTGTGAAGGTAAACCAGTGACCCCTGAGCTCCGGCCACCCCATCAAGACGACGCTGGTGAAGCAGGGGAATTGGGTGCTTCGCAGAAGGGACTCGTTGGAAGGCGACGACATTTGGTGGGAGTCTACAACTGGCATCTGTCACGTCCCAGCTTCTGTTGCCCTAAAGAGAGTATATAGGCTGCTTCCAGTTGCCCCATCCCGGGAGTTCGTTGATGTACCGGGCAGCTACGTGTTTGCCTTTCGGAGATGTTGGCATCAAGCATGCGCTACTTCAAACACCTTTGATAGGTATTTGCCCAGTTGAACTCAAAGCGCCACGGAGCCTCGAATTGTTTGCTCGGGGGTCCTGGAGAAACTGGCACTACTGGCAGCCTGGCTTGCAGATCAAGTCCTGTTGCCTTGCAAGTAAGTGATGTTCAGAGTCTGGAGGACGAGACTGATGACAGGAGTCCCCCTAGAATGCATGGATTCTCATAAATTTCCCACCTGGTTCGCTCCCTCCGGCAAGTCTGAAGTTGACATGATTGGGAGGAGGGAGCCCTCTGGAACTTATGTGGTTTCAAGTTCCCTTCATGAAAGGAGCAGGCTATAGCAGGCTACTTTGCGAGCTGTTATTGATGGTAGCCATGCTTATAACTTCTTACCCAGTTCCCGTAAGCGGGTTGTCACCACGGCAGCTAGCCACTTGTGTACCCCGCCCCTTCAAGTCTGTGGCAACGGAGAGCGCTCCTCCAAGACATTGCCAGACTTACCGTTTCAACTGGTTGCCTGGGGTTTCCTCCGTTTTGCCTTTCAACCAGCAAGAAAATACACTCATTCAGAGCTGCCAACCCAAAAGCATGTTTTGAGTTCACCCCACTTTAGTGGGTGAACTCACGCCATCTAGGTGCCCGTATTTTATTTTATTTTTTCTTTCTTCCTCATCTTGGTGAGGCGCTGGGATGGCTGGGCGCGACCTTTGCGGACCAGGAGCGCTTCCATTTTTTTCTTTTTTTCTTTTTTTCTCCCGCGGCTGGGGTCGGTATGTTCCGCGGGGCTGACGTTCACCTCGGAGAAATCTGGAGGACCGTGCTAAGTTGCCAAGGGGTGGTTCTCCTTTGGGGTTCCTTCGACTAGGGTCCTGATGAATGCGAGGTCATTCTCAAAGTTGGAAGTTGGCTCCTGCTTCAAGCCCGTCTTGGGAAGAAGTGGTACGGGTGAAATCGCTTTTGTGAGGCTCGGTATGCTGTTCAGGTGAAGCTCGCAGGGAAAGCACTTTTGTTTGGGGCCTCCTATGTTCACACCTGCCCGTGTGGAAAGGCCCTAAAGTGCAGGTTTACTGTTGGAGGTAGGCCAAGCTTGCCCCGTCGGATCTCTTTTTTTTGGTTGGTGAAAACATGGCCGTTCGGTTGCTGTGTTCAGCGGTTTTTCCTTTTGCTGGCCAGCGGCAAAACCGTCGGGTCGCCGAGAACATGAATTATCAGAAGGGACGGCTGGCTCCTGCGCTGGATGTCCATAACTTGTTTGGGTCCTTACACGACAAAGAAGAACGTTGCTTGGAGTGCGCTTTAGCCTGGTACTGCATTGTAAGCTATTGTTTGACTGTGATGATCTGACCAGGGTTAACGCGCGCTGTATGAAAAGGGCATTACTGACATTGACTCATTATTGCCACCTCAGTTCAAAAGTTGCCGAGCTGCGCTTGCCTTTTGGGATCTTTGCCTTTAAACCACGCCCCCAAAGAAGGAACCAACTCTAATTTCAAACAACATACGCCAATTGAGGTTCAGTCACCATTTCCAGTCTATCGTCCATGTGGGAGGGACATGAGTGACGCCCTAAATCACCACGAACAACTGGGGGATGAGCCCGGCCATGGTGGGAACAAGCGTAATTTTCAGCCTCGCTCCTGCGGCGAGGGGTGTTTTTTTGAAATCCGTCCAACATGTTGAGAAAGCTCCCAGGTCAATATACGTCAAGCTTTCCCCAGAATCATGATGCTTCTTCGGATCGACACCCTTACCTCAAGCGGAGTACCCCATCCCGCGCGCTTCATCGTGTTTCCCTATGTGGCTGTGGGTCAAAATCAAACCACCAGCAACACCACAGGTTTTGGTCCATGTTGCCACTTACCAGGGCTCCATTTAGGGACCGTTTTTTTTTGACCCACAGCCACGTTTCCCTTGGCTTTTTTTTGGTTTTCAGCTGGTTTTTGCGTCAGGAGCTGTACAAGAGGTACCACCTGGCCATGGAGACCGCGGAGAAGGTGCTCACCGGCTCGGACCAGGAGGATTGGGTGCTGGACAAGGCTGGGCCGAGTTTCGTGGGGCTGTCGTCAGGAAGAGAAAAGCTACCCCCCAAGCCCCCCAAGCCCCCCCCCGAAATGAATAAGCACCAACCCTGCGCAGCCAAGCAGCGTGAAGGGGAATAAGCCTCACTAAGCCTTGCCTCACTAAGCCTTGTTGAGCCTTATTAAGCCTTGTTGAGCCGTTTTAAGTCTCAATACGCCACGTGTGTCGAGTCAAGTCGGGACTTCTTGGACTTGGCCAAAGAGTTGGCCGGCGGGCGGTTGAATGGAAGCAAGGGAGAGGTCGCCCTGGCAGTGGGGTCAGTTGGCTTGGTGCTCAGTAGAGAATGAACCAGGGTGTTGGGAAGGAACCGGTTTTGGGGATTCCCTTATTGGAAACCACCAGTTGGATGGTTACTATGGCAAAACAACCAGTGCTACTGGGGCTTGCTATTGGGGTTATGGGTTAAACTATGGCATGCAAGAATTAGAGGAAAACTAGGGGTTCCCCAAAATCATGCCGCATGTAAATGGAGAAATGAAAGAGTAAATACATAAGCAAACAAACACACAAGAATGAAAACACAAAGAGCAGGTGGGCATCGGAATGCATGTTTGGACTCTTGCGCGCTGGCCCTCCGTTGTTTTTTTGAACCGGGGCTTAACCGGGGCTCAACTGGGGCATTTTCTCTGGGTCTAACTGTTGGAGACGCCATCTTGCTTGTTCTCAGCAGGGAATGCGAAATGGAATGACCCCGATGATCGTAACTTTCATTTGCCCAATATGTGTTATTCTCCTCTGCTGGTTTCAAAGATAATTTGTCACTGGAGATAACTTCCATTTTTTCCAGGCAAAAACGCAAATGGAGGGTAAGCATGGCATCTGCCAGGGGCCCCCACCTTTTTGGCACCGCTATCCGCCAGGCGCGGTATCTGCGGGTGGAGTCGGAGCTGCGAGCCACGCGGTGCCGCTGCGCCTCCGCGAGCCTGGCGCTGCTGGCGCTGCGGCGGACGCAGACGCGGCAGCGGGCGCGGTGGGGGCAGCAAGGCGCGGGGCGGCGGGGTGGGGTGTGGGGGGAGTTCCAATTGGAACGGGGCCCCGTGGTTGATACATGCCATTGGGGGGGGGGGGTGGTGGGGGAGGGTTTGGTGGGCATTTTGTGGGGGGGAGTTGGCGGGCACACTTTGTGTCTGTTTTGCGGTCTGTGTGTTTAGGGTATTTGTTTTTCGCTGCAAGATAAACTCCAAGTGTCCGTTGCACGAGTTTGGTGTGGGGAACCGGGTAGGGCGGGGCAAATCTGCGGGAAAGCACTGGGCCCCTGTAAGTGAAGCCAAAAGGATACTTGGCGTATGTTGGAGGGTAGACTCTGTTTGGTGTTGCTTTAAAGAGAAACTGAAGATACTTGGGGGAAAGCCAGCATCAGTAGCAGTCTATGGTCTACATGTCCTGCTTTTGTCAGTGGTCCATTTGGGGTTTGGGACATGGGGAGAACTCTTATTTTTTTTGCGCAAAAGCAAGGGAACCAGCAGCAGGACTTTTCTTCCCACATCCTGAAGGGGACCCAAGTGGACATCGACCATGGCTTATGTGGGGACTTCGCTGGTTCACCCCCCCAGCGATTTGCCCTGAACGTCCCATCCGTCCTTGATGGATCGCTTCTACAAAAACTGGGCTTACCGCTTTGTCTCAGTTCAACGTACTTTTCTCCGCTTCTCGCTCGCGTCAGGCGGCGGGCTGTGGCGGGCCTTTTGCTCCACGTTGAGCACGGCGCAGCACACCATGGAGCCCCCCTTTGTAAAGCCGCCGCCCCCGGCCGTGCTGCTCTACGCGGCGGCGCCTTGGATTGTTGGTTCTTTGTTTTGTGTTGAGCTGGAAAGGGGTGGGGTGCAAGTGGGGGGAGGGAAGGGCGTTTGGGCGTGTGTATATATATATATATATGTAGATATGTAGTGCTTGTTCAGCTGATCATTGTTTCCTGGTTGTGCATCTGGTCTTCAACTCTCGATGTATTGCCGCATGTTTTTCCTCTGCCGATTTTCAAGCTACGAGGCACTCGGACAAGGAGTAGGCAGCTAGAAGGATTGGGGACATGTGCGAGAGCCATGAGCACCAGTGAGGGACTCGCCAGGGATCCAGTAAAAAGGCGTCTTTTTTTAGGTCGTCGACTGGTTCAGCTTTTTGCGGGCAGATTCCCGTGACTAAGCTATCAGTAATGATCTTGCGTGGTGCTTGGGTTGAAATGATGCATGCCCGTTGTGGAAACCTGCGCTGGAAGTTGTGGACACGTAAGTGTAAGGGTCCAAGAATCTTTTTCAGGGCTACTTGGTTTCCATGTTTCCTTTCCGGGCACACGGGGTAAATTGATTTGTGGGCACATTGTGTCCACTCGAATCAAGTCGCCCTGTCCAGCAACATGGAAACCACCTGAGGGTGCAAGGGGGTGTCGTGGAAGGTCTTGTTCTGGCACCTCGTCTGGCTCATTTGTTTAGCGGTTTAACCCAGAAGCTAGGGGCTGGTACCAGAGGCTCAGAATATAGGTTCATACATTCATGCAGACGGACGCACAAATCGTTGACCTTGATGGGAGTGCACACAAAGCACAAAGGCAAAACTGGAAGGTGGTTTCTGATAAGTTGTGACTGTGGGTTCCCATGGGTTGTTGGAAACATCCACGGCTGGCTGTCCTGGCTGAGTGTGGCTACGCGTCTCTTGCGGAAACGGATGGTGTCCTTGACCAGAACTCTACTGACCACGGCCGTGGGGAATGACCACTTCTATGATACAACAGAAAGGGTTTCCCAAAGACTAAATTGTTCATGGAAAGGGGGATTCCCTTGTATCGCAGAAGTGGGGATACACCCCTTGATCCCACAACCCTGTTACTGACGTAATTGGGCGCGCCTGTTTTGACGGCACCAGCTTTTAGGGTGGTGTACATTGACATAGGAGCCCCATCCCCGAGTCCGTCTTTGACCCCCAGAAACACATGAAGCAGTGCCTTCCCTTGAGTTGAGCAAACCCATCATTTTGCAAAAGTCTAAAGGTCAGAGAAAGGACACACGCCCCCTTCGAAGGTGTGTGCTGTGTGAGCTTTCCAGACTCTTCTTTGGGGCAAGGGAAGGCAGGCAGCGTGTGCCACCCCGGAGGAACTCCTGCACCTGTTGCTCCACTTGCCTGAGGAGCTACCAAAAACTGCGGGATCTGAGTTGCTTTTCTTTTTCGCTTAAGACCGTCCTGAAAAGGTAGACCGCTTGTAGATGCATGAAAGGAAGAAGGGCCTTCCAAGCTTTGCGGCAGAATGTTCTAGAAATCTTCCGAAGGGGGTGCGGCCTGTGGTTTTCCCACAGAAGTTAGAGCCAATTAGGTTGCATCTCAACTTGTCGAGTAAGGCGGGGTATTTTGGGTAGACCTTTGTTTGCGGGGACAATTCAATGGAACGAAGTTCGGACCTTTCAGAAGGGGGCCCTTAGGCTATTAGGTGCCCGACAAGTGCCCGGATGCAGACCCTGTTTCCCCTATGGGATGTCGAAGTCCTGCGCTTTTTGTGTTGGGGGGGGTGGTTCCCTGGCTTTGGGGTCAAAAATCGGTCGGGGGGGGAGTCGGAAAAACCCAGGGGCTGGAAGGGGAGAGGTCCTCCAGCCATTCACGAGAGAGCGCACGGACGGCCGCCGCGGATGTCGGTGGGTTTTTTGTTGCCAGGAGGAGGCCGGGGAGCTCAGCAGGTCTCTGGACTCTGGACGGCTCCCTTTTTGAACCTGGGCGCGTCCTTTTTTTGGGGCACACTCTTTTTGGTATGAAGACCATCTTTCTAGTGTCTTTTTCTGTGGGGACCCTGCAAAAAAAAACAAAAGAGGAACCAACACAACAATCAACAGCAACCAATGGCTTTTTGTTTCCTTTTGGTTTCCCCTGAAACATCACGATTTTTCACAAACAAGGGTACCCTCAAAAAAGGCAGACCCAGCTTCAAAAGAGGGTGTCCTTTGGGTGGGTGGTGTTTCAGGGGAAATATGGAGATCCTGTTATTGGATGCCCAGCTGCCTCAGGACTAAGAAGGCAATTCCAAGCGGACATTTGACACGCGACCAATCATACCCGACTCATCAAGAAGCGAAGGTGATTTTCCCGGGATCCCTGAAAAGGACATTTTGCCAGAGCATGTAGGACATGTTGGGCTCCGCGCTTAGTTTAATGTTGGCTTTCTTGTCAGACGATCCAACAACAGCTCCTTTTTGGAGAATTTGTATTTGAAAGGGTTGTCAAGGGCATGGTAAGGACCTTCTGGCGGAGAATCGCACTTTGCTTTGCTTTCCAGCTGTCCGCTGTCCGTTTTTCGCAACATTTCGGCTCCAGTGAGGCTCTTTTGCCTCTTCCATCGCGTTCACTGTGAGCAAATCTCTCCGGACAGCGGGCTCGGCACAGAGCCGCCATGGAGAAGCCGGGTTCTCGAAAGGGGGGGCTTTAGTCATCCGAGTAGGGGGGGCCTTGTGTGTGAGACAGACCCCCGTGACCGGGCCAAGGATGGTTGGAGCTGGATGCCTGTAAGTTGGCATGTGTTTGTTTGAAGTGTCCCTTGTGGGATGATTCCTTTTCGGGTTGCTCAAAAGGGAGGGAAACTTGCCAGGAATGGCAACCATTTCCTTGACGTCCCAGGAGCAAACGAGCAAATGGAGGACCAGCCAAGAATAGGAATCGGTGTGGCACCCTTTGGCGTAGGAGTGAAGTGCTGACAGCTGCGGGCTCTGGGTTTCCCTCACGTGAGGTGTGATCAGCGTGCCCGAAGCATGGAGAGGGAGTCCGAGAGGACCCGGCGGGGGTTTCGGTTTTGGGCGGGTTCTCCCACATCCCTCGGAAGGGGGACGTTCTGTACACGAAAGAGGGTAATCCCGTGCACAGTCTGGCAGCCGTGCTTTCTACTTACTTGGCCTACGCCCCAGACCGTCCCAGCGAATGTGTTGGGGTTGTAGCGGGACGCGGTTTGCAGAAGGCCACTTAGTTGCTTTTCTTACCGTTTGAACGTGTTTCATGGAACATACCGACTCATGTACAACACAGTGTTCGCGGCGCGTGTGTGTCGTATGGACGCTCACACATCATCAGTGAGCAATCAGTACCCTCAGCTGACATGCATAGCAGGGTGTCGCTGCGGTCAGCAACTATGGCTATCACGACCCGCCAAACCATGGTTCTCAGTCCCCAAATAGCATGAGCAACTGTAACCATGGCTGCTAACGACTTCCTCTCTACCAACAACCACGGGCGTGGACAGGAGGTGTAACTAGTTTTCAAACGCCCTCTTGTCAGCTTCCATTGAAGGGATTTTCAGGCTTGGAGTGGAGGTTTTCTACCACTGAAACAAGGGCTATATACTGCCCTGCCAGCTGGTCTTGGTGGCAAAGCATGCATGCTCCCGCTCCACGAGTGCCCGATCTGGAACAGCTTCCTGCACACCCGCACGCAACCCCGCGCCCGCGCCGCGGGGTTGCAGGCAGCCCATGAAGCAAGGTGATCTCGGAGAGAAGAAGGAGCAGAGGCGGGAGGGGACCCGGCAACCTAAGATTCACTGGCTTGTGCATGGAAGGGAGCCGGACTTGCTGTACCCAAGCTTGACTTTCATGAGGGAGCTGAGGAGCTACCAGTTGCGTAGGGACATCGTAATTAGTTCAGCTCCCGCAGAAAGGATGCTTCCAGCCTTCGAATCTCGACCGAACTTCTTAAAGCCGTGATTTTTTTGAGAAATCGCAGGGCCATGGATTTTCCACCTTCGGAAATCTCCTAACCCCGGTCTGGTGGAGATTCATTTTTGGGGGTTCATTGCTTGAGGGGACCCCCGAACCCGAGCTGCAAGATGCAAGGCTTATCTGGGGGTTTTACTGAGAGTTTCGAACCACTTAAAGTGAGTAACAATTACTTAGCACGCGGAACCCCGATTTGTTTGTGCTTGGGTCTGCCAATTGATTGTTACTCACTACTGTTGATGGAGGACATCCATTTTCGCACCGTTGGTACTTGCGTTGGGGAGTCGCCTCGTTCCGTTGAGCTTCCGAGCGCGAGGCTCGCGCGAGACTCGCTGGTTTTTTCGTCCCGCAGCTTCCCTCCCCGAGCGCTGAGGCAACGGCAGGCCTGCAGCCGTAGCCGCAGCGCCGCCCGTCAGGGCGAAAGCGGCGGGGCGGGCGATCAGCAGGCGCTCGGTGGGCGAAGTGATTTGCCGCTGGTAGTACTGTGGATGGACAACAATTCTGCACCCTGTAAGAAACCCTGGAATGCTGATTTCCCCGTAAATGCACATGAACACTGGTTTTCCATGGCTTCCAAGTGGTGCAGGATTTCGTCCATCCACAGTATTTATGAGATTTGGTAGTTCTATAGCTAGTGGGCGACAAACTTTTTCACGAAAAGGGGAGCAAAGGAGTTGCCAGGAGTTCTGCAAGGACATGGTAGCCTGAAGGAAGTTTGCCTTTGGTTGCCCTGAAGCCCAATCAAACAGAGGTTCCCGAACAAAAAGCGCCCGCCAGAAGGATTGCGACGTTTTGGCAGGATTTGTTTACTTTTCATCAGCGTTGTGGAGTTTTCTCAACACGGTAATGTTTATTGTGGGAGCATCGTTGGAACATGGGCGGTGAGCAACTCATGTTGTTTGAAAAGATCCCTTGAATCGGAAGCCTGACGCCGCTTGACCCTTTCGCAGGTTGGGCGCCCCAACATAGCGCCTGAGGGGAGAGGGAGGGGAGGGAAATGGCCCATGGAAACGTCAAAAGTGGCTGGTCGGAGGTGAACCCCTGTCTAAGGGCCCCCAATGTTGCGATTCATGTGGCTTTTCGCCAGGTACGAAGCCAGAGCCAGAATCCCACAGGGCGGCGGCGACACCGGCAGCATCGCCGGAGGTACGTGCGTCGCTTGGATTCAATCAGTTGGGCGAGTGGGAAAGGGCAGGGTTCCAGGTTTGACAACTTGACTCAGACTTTCGGGTCTTCAGATTGGCTGGAAGTGGGTGTGACTACCCTTTCCGCGGGCTCGAGATTTGAACAATTTTCACAAACCCCGCCCATAGAGAACATGGAGATTCCGTGGTTTGCGTCTCTGGTGCACTCTCCGCAAGACGCAGAGGGAGGATGCCGAGTCGGTGCGGCAGAAATGGCAACGCCCGATCCGCCCTGTTGATGTCGGAGTGGAAATTGAGGAGCCGCTTTGGCAAGAAGCCTCAGTGATGTGCGGTTTGCATTTGTTTCTGCATAAGGTGTACAGACGCAAAAGGTCCGCAGCCTTAAGTCTGAGAACCTTTGAAGGTGGGAACGTACCAAGATGGGCCTCCGAGGTTTTGGTGGAAGCCGAGCACTCGTTTGTTTGTTTTTTGGGCGCAAATTCCCAGCAGTCGGCCGCAAGGCCAAAGTGAACTCTTGAAACCTCTGGATCTGATTCGGCGCAACGACGCGAAGCTTGGGAAGCTTGGCGTTGGGATTGTGGGCGGGTAGGATAGGGGGGGGGGGTAGGTTGCAGGGAGTCTCGGAGTTCTGCGGTTTGGAGGGAGAGTGGGTTCAGCGGTTTGGAACCCAGAGCTCGGAAGGGCTCCAAATCCGCTCGCATCTAGGAGTGAGATGTCAGGAGCTTGGCTAAGGCGATTTCCAACTAAAAGCTGGCCGTTGCTGGTGCCGCTAGACTTGCGGCAAGCCGCTTTGGCGGGGTTTTTCTCCAGCCCCAAAAATTTGGCAACAGTAGATAACCCTACAAGTTTTATGCGTCTGAGCTTGTTCCGCTTGCCAAGGAGCTGGGTTGTCTCCTCACGCCCTTTTATTTTTGCCAGACGGAGCCAGTGACAAAAGGCATCTCAATGTGGAGGTGATGCGACGCCTCAAATGAGATGACCGCAGCTCCTCTAAGATTCGTGGGGTTTGGAGGGCCCGATTTTTCAGCTGAAGACAATCAACTGCAATAAGACTTGTTAGCAACTGGACATTCCTCGTTTGCTCTTCATATCTTCGTTCCTGATGTGTGGCCGCCTTGGAATGCGATTGTTCTCAGAGTCATGTTAATGTTCATTTGGGGGTGCATTCATTTGGATGTTTGGTTGCTTTAGTGTGAGCTTGGCAGCTGCCGGCAAAAAGGTGGACCACTCTTGGCCGACGGCGGGGCGCTAATTGGCCGATGTGCCGCAGAAGCTCCGATGATCTGTGCTTCGTGCGCGTCTTCGTGCTTCGTGCTTCGTGTGGGGTGGAGCTCGGGGGTCCACGCCGATCCGGCGAGCTCGGACGACTTTATGGTTTGGTTTGTTTCGGTTCCTTTCCGCGCACGTGAACCGCGTGAGCCGCAACTGAAGGAACGCTCCGGCTTTGACCCCCGCTTCTTTGGCCAGTTGCTTCAGGGCCACCCCTCAGACAGGACTTGGTGGGCTTCACACCGGGATGCAGAGACTTGCTCAGATCTTAAGTCGGATGGGGCCATTTCCACATCTTGCGAAGCGTTTCGTTTCTGTCAGCTTCTTGGGTTCGAGGGCGAAATCCAAACTCCAACTCCTCCAAAATCGGAGGAGTGGTGGATCGATCCGCGCGCTGAGGCCAGGTGTCCCGCTGCCCGAGTCCGCACCGCTGCCGCCCGGAGGACTACGCGTTGCGCCGCAGCGGCATCGCTGCGGCGGTGGCGGAGGTCCCGACGGAGCTGCGCGAGGGGGAAGGAGGGGAAGGAGGGGGGGGGGGGAGGCAAGCGTCTATTTTGGTCTGTTATTTTATTTGTATTTTGGTTGGTGTTTGTGTTTTGCATTTTTTAAAAGGTCCTTTGTCAATTGCGCTAGACTTTCTAAGTAGTTTGGCCCTTAGTGATAGTCGCAGTGGTCGAACCTTGACCTTCCCCACAAAGAATGAGGCAAGGGGGGGAGGGGCGTGTCCCCTTACATACACATAGAACTCTAAATTCAGGTTGGTTAGATACCCTTGCTGGGTGCTGCTGACTGCACACTGAAACAAGATGCGAACAGAGCCACTTCTAAGGAAACTGTGTCAAAAGAGCTGTCTCAAAAGAAGGGGCAGCCTACAGGGGGTGTTGCTTCATATCTGCAGTTGCGATAGCGCGAGCGGGAGTTCAAAGAAAACGGTTCCCCAAGAAAATTCCCCCCACCGTCTGCTTCAAACACGCCAGGACAAGGATGAGATGCTTGAAAGTGTGAGCCTGCGCGCGAAATCCTGTGCAAATCCCTGTGCAAAGGCGATCCCTTCGTTCTGTCTCATTTTCTCGCTTTTAAAGACTCAATCCTGGGGGCGCACAGATGGCCCCCTGAATCCTCGGGGAAAAAGAAAGGAAGCAATGAGTCGCCACGCTTTTGGAGGTCCCTCGCGCCCTCGCATGGCCCGGTTTTCCAGAGACTCCACCTTGCCTATGTCGGATACTGAGTTTTCCTTACCGGGCCTCTTTTCAATCAGACTTGAACCCACAAGTTCAGGGGATGTGATAGCAATAAATAAGTATCATCAGGCGGTTGTACTCGGCATGGTGCCGAATAAATCCGATCTTCGGCCTCAGCCCAAATGGCTTGCAGCTTCCTGGACTTTCCCAATAGATGGACAGGCGATTTTCGCGCCACCGATCGGCCATCGCCTGACTTGCACGCGCCACGTCGACCTTGAAACTGCGGTTGCGGCACCTCAAAAGTTGGTCGGGGCTGCTCGGGGCTCGGGGAGTCGAGGGCCCGATGGGTTGAGAAGGGGAGCCCGTTTGGACACCATTTCATCAAGCAACGGGCTTCCTGGTTCAACAAGAAGTTGCTATGTCTCAGGATGCAACTCACCATCTTGGCACATTTCTGCGGGGCCCTGGAGGACTCTGTGAATGCCCCAAACAAATCCCCCTCCAAAAGAAACGGTCGTCAAAAATTCGGCGACCGCACTTGCCGAGGGTTTGCAACGTCACACATGACGAAGTTTCTTTTTTGCACCCTTCATTGCGTCATTGTGGCTCACTAAGCATTGGCGATGAGCATGGTTCTCTGGTTTGGTGTCAAGCTTCTGTCAACCCCCCCCCCCACCCCAACAAAAGAAACCACAGCGATCCCCGTTTAGCAAAAGTGTCCAACACCTTTCTGGGTGTTCTTGAGCCCCAGACACTGGCGGAGCCGAGCTGACCTCAGCTGAAACCCAAGGCCGAGCCGAGCCCGCCCTTCCGGCTTCTGGACGACGCAGCGTGGGCCTTTGCCAGGACTGCTTTCCCCTCCAGTCCGAAAATGGGTACCCTCCCACCAAGTAACTATGGAAGTGCAAAAAGTTGCCCTTGCCAAGAGAAAAGTGGGGCTTCTAGAGGGGTCTGTGCAAAGTGGGATAAAGTGGGCACCCTCCAAAAGAGGCACAAAGTGGGTACCCTCCAAAAGTGGGTGAGATGGTTTCCTTTGAACAATTGAGCCTTGCTTTCATCATTCCAGGGATTCTTGGGTGGTGCAGGATTTCCGTCCATCCGCAGTATTACTAAACAGCCCAATCCTCCCCAACCATCCTGTGATTGGACAAAGTTCTGTTCCTAACACAACTCTGGAATGATTCGACTCCCCACGGTAACCACCAACAAACGTTCTGGTTTCAACCATGGTTTCATTTCGTGGATCTCGCGTACCCTTCCACAGTCCATTCACTTAAACCATCTCACCAATTCACGTGGGACCTGGCGTTCGGGCAGCGGTCCCTTTGAAATCATGCCCATGATTGTAAAGGAACACGGTCCAAGCTGCCCCCCGAAACGTCGAACGGGCCATAGGGCATAACCTATGGCTCCATTTTGGGGTGGATGAACATCCATTTGCCGCCTATCTTGACGTTCACCAGGGGTGCAGGGTGATATGACCCACAGCCAACGCTTACCGCGCTCTTCCTGGGGCTGAGGCCCAGCACATCCACAGCCTCACGGCGCCACCCGCGCGCCCGCGCAGGGCTCCCGAGAGGAGTTCGGGGTTTGGGGTTTGGGGGATCCCGACACCGACCAAGCCTCGCGGGCCTCGAGGTTCCGGACTTCGCCTCAGTTTTGGGGTTTGGGCCATGAACACCCGAAAGAGGTTGGAGCTGAAAACGGAAGGTGAGCCTGTGACGAGGGCTTTGCTCCGACAAGGTGAGCCTGCTGTGTCTATTTGGATTTGACCAAGTTCCGGAAAGCTCGGGCAAAGCCATAGAAGCCACATGAAAGTCAGTGGCAAATGGCGGGCCTCTTTTCAGATTGGGTGTGTCTTTTTTTAGGACTCGGACCCCCCCAAAAAAAAAACAAAGGAAGAAGAAGAAGAAAAACAAAACAAGAGGCTGGTTTCCTCTTGGTTCCCCTTCAAAACCAAAAAATGTGTGTATATATATATATATACACATGTACACACAATAAACACGGAAACCCTCTTAAACGGGACGCCCGCCATGAATCAATTGGGTGCCCATTTGGGTGCGTCCTTGTTTGATTTGTGAGGGCCGCCCTCCCCTCTTTTTGATGCCAAAGAAAACCCAAAACAAAGACCGCCATTTGGGGGGTCCCTAAAACGACACGCACCCATTTTTCACAAAGCCTCCTAACCCCGAACCTTAATTCTCTTAACCATGAAACCCTAATACTCCTAGCCCCGAAATGCAATCCTCCCCATTTTTGGAGTCGCGTGGTCGTTCTCGGCGCTTGGACCCCGTGCCCGGGTTCCAGCGCGGGCTCGAGGCCTGCCGTTCGGGCTGCGCCTCAGCCAGGAGGAGGAGGACGCAGGGAGGGCCGAAGAGCCCGCCCTTGTCTCGCATGATTTTTGCTTTGGGAAGTTCGATTCAATTGAAAGGGTTTCGTTTTCTTGGTGATTTGCGACCGACCCCGCGCTGTTGGCACTTCTCCTTTGCGTTTGGCAGCATACTTGTTGCCTGGAGGTGTGGAGGGCATGGGGTCGGTTGAACATGTGCTTGTTTTGCCGAATAACACTTGGGGTGTGGGATGCTCGAGCTCAAGTGCGGGAGCCTCGCCGGATCCCCGGGGCCATGAGCCATGGTGGTGGTGGTGGACTGCGGCAGCTGCATGCGCCGCGGCGGAAATTCCTGTTTGGCGTGCGTCTTGTGGATGGTATCATTCTCACTTGACCAAACGGAGAGAACCTCCATGTCTGGGGGTACCTGTATTTTGAGGCATCTGTCCAAGCCAACCTGCTTTGCACAGCAGCCCGCAAGCCAGCGTCAGAAATCGGCCTACATTTTTGAACAAGCGGGAAACCACAGAAACACATACAACACAAGTAAGCAACGCATTGTGTATATATAAGTATATGCAAAAGCCCGCGCACACACACACACACAGAGACTCAAACACAAACAAAGACGAACAAAACCACTCCTCCCAGCGCAGCTACGCCACACACACACACACACATAGACATTGAACGTGTAGGACACAACCCACAGAACACAGGCACACGCGCGCACACACACACACACACGCACACATGTGCACATACACACACAATCAGAAATCATCGATTGCAAATGACAAGCCGCCGGTCACAGATCACAATTTGCACGTTGCAATCAGAGAGAAAGAGAGAGAGAGAGAGAGACGGACGGACGGACGGACGGTCGGACGGAGCGAGAGAGAGGGAGAGAGTGAGCGAGAGAGGGAGAGAGTGAGCGAGAGAGCGAGGGAGCGATAGCGAGAGAGAGGCAGGCAGGCAGGCAGGCAGACAGACAGACAGACAGACGTAAGATAGTTAGATTCAGATAGATAGAGAGAGAGAGAGGCCTGTTGGTTTGCCTGTTTCCCGAAAACTGGCAGTGTCTTTTTGGTTTCCCTTGAAAGCAACCCTTTCCAAGGTAATGCACGGCATTGAATAAGCATGAGGTATCTTAATTTGATACTGTGAATGGACAAATTCCTGCACTGGTAGGTGGTTCATAGATATAAGGATTCATCCATCCCAACTGGTGCGAAGTGGGTTTTGTCCATTCACTGTATTCCATTCAAATGCGCCCTAGTACCAGGATATCCTGAATTGGTGATTTAATTGGACGGTTTTTTTGGGGGTGGGGTGGGGGGGGGGGGGGGTTGGACCTGGTTCTTGAGCAGGGGAATCGCCCCCTAGCATCCCTAGCCTCCAAAACACCAATGTCAAATCACCAACTGAGGGTCAGCTGAGACATGGGGTGTGTCTTTTTTTGTTCGGGGGTTGGTTTACAGGACACCCGAAAGGCAAACCACCATTCTGGCACAAAGGGCGGGGGGGTGTCACCTAGGAAGCACACCCAAGGCCTCTGCCCATGTTGACCATCCAAGCACTCCTTCGACATCCCAGATGAATCTGAGGTGCAAGGCCGGCTTCGCCGGGGACGCGGCGCCCCGCGCCGTTTTCCCCTCCGTGGTGGAGCGGCCCCGGCCGGGGGTCATGGCAGGCGCCGGGAAGCGGGGGGGGCAGGTGGGAGGATTCAGCGGCGTGCTTTTGGTTCAAAGCTCCAACATTGGAGCGTGTCTTTTTCTAGGGCCTCCCCCCCTCCCCCCTCCCCCCCGGCCCCAAAAATAGCGGCTGTCCTTTTGGGTTCGCAAAACCAACATCGGCACCGGGTCATAGGTCGTGGTGAACCCAAACCTGGCTCGCGCCTTGCAGCTTGTAGCTCGTGCAGATGGTGCTCAACCATTGTGGCCGGCTGTTTGGCGGAGTGTTGAGCTATGCTTTTTGGAGGAAGGGGTTCGGAGAATGGGCGAATGTGCTGCTTTTGGTTCGGTTTTGGCCTAGACTTTGGTTTCTTCTTTTGGCTCTGGTTTGCTAACATCCGGGGTTGTGGAGTTTTCTTTGTTAGTGTGTTTTGTTCACGTGTTGTTTCTTCATGTGGCAAAACGGCCGAATGGCCGTTTGGCTCAAGTTTTCAACCCCCCGTCAGTTTAGCTCTGGCACCACGTGCGGACGCCATACAACGGCAGCCGCCCACATCACCGGGAAAAGGTCTCGGTGCTGGGGGCAGTTGGTTGTGGGAGGTATCCGGTGGTGCGGCAGGGTTTGCTGGGCTTGGTTGAGTACTTATACTTCTTCAACTTGATTCCCAACTTCCCCAAACTTCTCTTTACCAACCGTCACTTCCTCAACCCGGTCATCATCCACAGCTTCACCCGAGTTGTGATTCCGGGTGCTTTGGGTACATTGTGATCTTCTTTGTACTCATTTGCTTCCCTGGGCTACTTCGTGTTCGCCCAAAACCGCAGGTTATCGCCCACCATGGGAACCACCATGCCCGCACCGCCACTGACCCAGCCATCAACCGACCAGTTGCCGATTCCCCTCCACGGTAGGCGTCCCCGGCGGGAATTGAACCACAGACCCGGCGCCACAAAGATGGTCGAGGACAACGCCTCTCCCATTACCACGGGTTATCAGCCGTACCAGCTAGAAGCTGGGGCTGGTGATCCGGTTGCGGGACGTGACCCGCTACCTGCTCCCATCGCCTACTTGTACGAGCAATGGCGTCCCCCGGAGCTTCACATCGTGGGCCGGGCTTCGTGGACGACGAGGCCAACGCCCTTCGCGGCAACGCCGCGCCTGCTGCCCCCGGCTTAGACAGCCGGCTGTGGCCCATTCCCCCGATGGTGGGCGCAGAGCCCAATCCCGGGGTGATCACGGACGATTGGATCCTTTCTCAGGTGTGTTTGATGAGGATGCGGAGGCCCCTATCCCGGCGGCAGTGCTTCAGATCGAGGACGGACCCCCTCTAGAAGAGGCTGAGGTTCCTCCAAATCAGGTGCCCTCATCGATTTCGCCTACTGTTCCGTTCGTGGCGCTCCAGATCGAGGACCGGGCTGTCCATCATGCTGCTCATCCGGAGCCGGCTCAATCATGGTCCCTTACATGGGATCAGTTTGACCAGCTCCTCGGCAGTGGATCGCAGGCTACACCGCCTGATTTCGGTCGGCTCGACTTTAACTCGGGTGCCCCCATATCGGTTGGGAATCTGGATTTTCAATCCCTTTTTGATGCTGATTGGAGGTCTCAGCCTTCCCGAATTGACAGATCTTTTGATGCCCTGCCTACGCATGAGCCTACTCAGGGTTTTCCTCATGATGGAGAAAATGACCCCATTGAAGATTTCTCCCCTTCTCATGTTGCAGGTTCGGCCCAACCCGAGGTGGGCAAACGGGCGATTGAGGATTGGCCGCAAATAGCTGGCCTTCCTCCCGTCTCAGGTTCATCCGACATTGACATCATTCACGATCACCCCAGTCCGGCGGATATGGACTTCATCCCTGATGCAGTATCATCTCACCTGTCAGGTACCCGCGACCGGAATGCGGACCGCTACAACGCTGGTCCGAATCCACCGCTTTCCTCAGGTACCCGAGGTCGGGATGCGAACCGCTACAACGCGGGCTCAAATCCGCCAAATCGGGCATCAGGTACTAATCGATCGGATGCGGGCCGCGAAACAGCAGGCCCAAATCCTTCCTCCACTTCGTCAAGAAGCCATGCCGGTCTCTTTGCGGCGTTCAATCGGCATCAGACTCGAAAAGAGTCCGCCCCCGACGTCATCGACCTCGAGGAGCAGTCCAGCCACCGTACCAGCGATGGATCCGAGCAGGATACACCTGGTATTGGCTCTACTCCCTTCGACCTCCTCGACATCCCCTTCCATCAGCCTCCCAGGAGAGGAAATGAAGATGATGAAACCATCCCTGGGATCCTTGATGTAATCGATGAGGCCGAGGTCACACCAGAGAGACGAACGACATCGCTCCCGCCGAGCCGCGTTGCCAAAGTACTTTCCCCTAAGCCACTCAATGGTGACGTTGCTCAAAGGCTCGATCTCACTCAACCTGATCCAGATCAAGCTCAACTTCGCGGATCATCATCATTTGATAACGTGTCGGGACAAACCGGCACTGACTCACGAGCCACAAAGAGGAGCTCTGAGTCACCTGAGAGACGTGAAGCTGCTCTGCGATTGCGATCTAATCCCCCAGCTCATCACGATCCTATTGACGTTCCTATCCACTCTGCGGGGTCTGGGCTCAGCTCCAATGCCCCGATGTCTGAGAAGGAGACTGATGACGGGATTAACTCTACGCCCAGGAACCGGAGACCTGGACTTAGCACTGTTGCTCCCTGGACATGGAGGGCTTCCTTCAAATCAACCGGTCAACAACTCCCTCGTCCCCGCATTCTTTCAAATCGGAACTCCGGGCTGCACTCCCGACAGGGAAGAAAATAGGCGCGGAGATCATGACGCTGATAGTCGTCCTGCTCCGTCTGCTTCCACAAGTGGCGGCCATCCTGTTGCATCTGAGCTTCAACGACTGCTTCTCGCGATCCACAACGAGGTCAAGGGGTGCAAGGCCGAAATCCAGGGATGCAGAACTGAGATTCGTTCATGTAGGGATGATATCAACGCTTGCGTCGGTGAGATCAAGAAGATCAATAACCGTGTTGACGCCTTCGAGAAGAAGGTTGAATCATCTTTCTCTGCCGTTGCCGGAACTCTCTCAAAACACGAGGCCAAGTTCCGTGATTTCCACGAGTGGGTCGCCCGAAGCGAGAAGGAGATGAATGAGCGTTTCAAGATGTATGATGAGAGGTCTGACTCGATCGTCATATCCGCTGCTGAACTTCGCGAGCAGGCCGAATCACTTGAGAACGTCAAGGTCCAGCTCCTTAGGTTCTCTGAGATCGGGGCCCTTGAGGCTGAGGTTCGGAAAATCAAGGACGAAGTTGAGGCGAACTCTCGCAGTGTCATCGACATTGAGGGAACCATCTCGAGGGAAAGAACCATCCGTGGGAACGTCGAGACATATATCCAGCAGCTCGTTCCTGCGACCGACCTGAAGCAGTTCAGTGATAGGATGTCCGGAGCCCTCAATGAGAACTCACAGAAGCAGGAAGAGTTCAAGCTTCAATTGTCCCGTATTGCTAGGTGCGTCAAGGACCTTCATGACAAAAGCTTAGGTCCCAATCCGAGGGACATGCAAGAGCAGTTTATGAAGCTTGTGCTGAGGGTCAATGAAATCAACATGCAGATCGCTGAGTTGAGGGAGCAACCTCTTGCTGCCTGCGGATCTTCAGGTGCTGGCGCTTCTTCGACCGCCGGAACGGGACCATGGGAGAAATCTGGAGACACTGATCCCTTAACCCAGGGAAGGGCTCCTAGAGATTCTCCTCCTCGTGATGCTCGCACCGTCAGCTCGGCGAGGCCTCCTCCACCTCCACCTCCTTCAGGGCCACCCCCACCGTCACCATCAGCCCCCATCTTCGGCAGGGATCCCTCTAGAACGAGGGCCATTGCTCGGGCTGCCGGCGCTGCCCCTGATAACCGGGCCAGGTGTGCTCATGAGGAGCCCGGGCATCCACAGCATCGGGAACCTCGCTATCCATGCCGAAGCTGCGGCAAGTCAGTCTGCGAAGACTGCTTTGACCATGATTGTAACTCGTGTTTCAAGTGCAGCGATCAGTTTCCTAGATGCCGCGCATGCAGAGGAAGAGGGGGGAGACACGGACTTGTGAGGTGTCTCATATGCAAGGACGAGTACTGCGATCAACACATCGCTTCACCTGACGATGTGCGCCGTTTTGGATCGAATGTTCGACCTATTTGCCTCGGTTGTCTGAGAGCTGATCCCGACGGGAAAACTAAGCATCGCGGTCCCAGTGCGGGGCCTGGAGGACCTGATTGCATTCCTGATCATAATCAGCGGGATGGCACTGCTCCTGATCCTGGATCCGGGCCATCACGTGGAGATCCGTCACATCGGAGTCCTGAACCGCACCAAGGGAACTCTGGTTTCTGTTCCCACGCCGGAGCTGCCGGGCCAATGCCACCAAGGGCAATGTCTTCGCCCGTAGTCGGACGAGCAGTTCCGAGGGGGACCATCAACACGTATCCCGGATGTTCCCCTACAGGGGGGATTTTCACCGGTCAGGTTGAGCATGGAACGTCTCAGGGAGTCATTCGCGGGAGGTACGGACCTGACGCTGCTGTGACAAATCAGCAGAATCCACAGCCTCACCACGGAGTACAGGATAACTCTGGCGGGCCAACTGGTTTCTCTCTTCCACCAGGACTCGGTAAGGGTGTGCATGGCGTCGGTGGCGTCGGCGGTATTGGAGCTCCCGATCTTCGCCGATCTTCCGCTGAGGAGAGGGTCTGCCCTCGATGCAACATAAATGTCAAGACCAGCATCCCCGGGACACCTCCATGCTTCCAAACTTGTTCGTTGTGCCGCACTTCTCTGTGTGCCGCGTGCTGCCCGCCATCGTCCGGGAGTTGCTCTCTTTGTGCCATATCCATTGGCAGAGACGGCATTCTACCTCCCCACGTTTTTGGGCAGGCTACTCGACCGCCCTTATCTTCGTTGCCATCTGAGGCGAACAAGTGCGCCAACATAGAGCTCGAAAAAGAGCCTGCACCGCATGAGT